TTTTGGGCCATTTCAACGACATTCTACACAGTCACCGGACCTCCCAGGTCATGCCCTGAGCCTTTGGGGACCTGTAACCCTTGCATGGAGCTGGATCTAGGCTTTCGAATACTTCAGACCTCCTTCTGAGGCCGCCCACTGACAAGGAAGTTCAAATTTATTGCACATGTTACCTTGACTGCCATATTTGGCCTGAACTTATGAGAGCTATTATTGCATATCAGCTGGTCCAATTATTATATTTAAGCCAGAATCAGACTCAGCTCATTGAAAGGAGTCGATTGGCATATTTTCCGCATTTTTCCCGATTTGTTTTGTATACGGCCAAAATTTTGGCCCATCCCGACCCATTATTGAAGGCTACAGGGTGTTTATGGGAAATCGGCTCGTGCCAATCTCTTCTTTAGAGTCTAAATCACTCGTTTCTGCAATAAAATTGGGGTTCCCACGGCTGCTGGACCTCAGGAAATCCGGTCACCGAATTTGTTGTCTTTGGTTGTCCGGGACTGTAGGACGGCGGGAAGTGAGTGGCGTTGACAACCTTCGCTACCGCGACCCTCGGCTGATTTGTGCGGAAAAGGCAAGTATTGTCTAGAGCATCTCGCGTACGTCGGCTGGAAAGGGGTGGCGACCTAGAGTCCAGACAAGGGGAGAGTAGATAAGAGACAAGTGCTCCATGTGCAATGCACCAGATCGGGACAGTGCCAGGTATCCAGCTCTCGAGTAGCGGAAACGGTAGAGATGCCCTTCTAATAGACCATCCCGCAGCCTTTGCTATGCCGCAAAATATATGCCCTTTACTGTATGAGTGCATGAAAGTGAAAACGTCCGGTTAACCCATAGCGAATGGGACGGGCACGAAGTATTCAGGCTGGGTAGCGGTGAGTATTCGATCTTGGACTTCTGCATGCTCGACACGCCGCAAGGTTTGTCGTCCACGCAGAAGTGAGTGGAACCGAATTATCCCCAGCGCCCACCTTGATTCTACTGAGACGGCCCAGAGTTCTATATTCGCAGGGGCCATTATCACGATCGGTGGAATTTCCCCATTCACGTAGCTCGGCTCGAAAATCGCGTCCACGTTGTGCACGAAAGCACAGAGTCGAGGGAAGGCCAGGCGCGTGTATTTGCGAGAAATATAACCTTGATCCTGGATACACGGCGTTCATATATGAAGGGGTCGTAATCAACGCCCTGCGTGCGAGTCGAGAACTGGCTGGAGGCGCCTGCGCATTGCGCCTGCGAGTGGAGGTGATGGATGAGCCGGCGTGTACTCGAGCTGCGCGTTATTTGCCCTGTCGGGAGGCTGTATCTGCGCAGCTCCCAAGCGAATCGATCAGGACAGGAAAAACCTCGCTGGCTCAGGCTGCGGCGGATGTCTGTGCGGGACAGCGGAAGTGATCGTGCTCCGCTGTCCTGCACCACGTCCGGGGGCATGTAGCTTGGAGGTTCCTTGTGCTTGTTCTGATTGTCCCAGCATTGACTTGACTACGGCTCGTGTTGCTGTCGTTCATCTGTTCATCTGATACCGCGAGGTCAATACCTGTGGGTGGCAACATACTTGTACCCATATCCGTTCATCATGTCGGATTTGTGGGGGCCTACCGCTGGTCCGGGTTGCGCTAGAATGGACGCAGTGTGATTAAGTAAAGGAACCCGAGTGAAGTCGCAGTCGCGAACACGGCTGGTGTGTGGAAGCGTTGGCAGAACTCACTAGCTATTACAATGGCATGATTAATGGCTACCCCAGATCAACGCAGGACCGAGGAAATCAGAGAGGCGTTGCGGGGAAAGTGATGGTTAATGCTGCTAAGTATAACCTGAGTATGGGGCGTATCACCGCGCCGACATCGCGTCGAGATGGAAGTGAAACGATCACGCATGACTTGTGTCAGCGCCAGCAGCCCATGGGTATATGGTGCACTGTAAAGGCGGCTTCTCAGAAAGATGGATGGGGTGCTGGAAGTACGGAAGATCGGGGGCGCGATGTCGCGAGGAGGGCAGGATAAAGACGGCGCCCGGAGTATCCACGGAGAATTGGGGTACCCGCCGGACCAAGGCCCGGTTTACACATCGAAGGCGGAACCGGGGTATCGGAGGCTCGGGGCCCCAGACTGAAAGGGCCACGTGTAGCCGGGACCGACGCCGAGGTCCGGGGTATACCAATGAAGAGCACATCGTGCGTCGGCTGGGCCAAAGATGAAGCGACCAAGGCAGCTCGGCGAGGGAGGCTCAAATCAGCGCTGGAATCAGTTGATAGCGCAAATTTGTCGAGGTCTTATTTTCCACCAACAACGCTCGGGGCTAAGCTGCTTTCGACAGGACAAGCAGGAGTGCACTCTGCAGGCTGCGTAACTCGTTCTCCGCACGTCCAGACCGACTGCCGCCCCCGCATTCGTCGCCATCAGGAAGGCTGTTACGTAGACTCTGCCCTGATAGAGCCTTCGTGATCTCGCACTTTCACGTGCTTTCCCCGCCCCGCTACGTGCTTTAGTGGCTCAGTGGCGGCGTATCTACCGCATCCGAAACTTGGCTTATCCTCGTCTTTCTTGTCCCCTCTCTCGTCAGCTCGAGAGCCCGCAACTTTGTCTCTGGGCTTTATACGCACCTCCTGCTTTCACCATCCCGTTCCCATCTCGCCGGAGCGATATCTCCGCCGCCTGAGCTAGAACTGCTTCAAGTACTCACGTAGAAGTCTGCCTGCCATACAAGAGATAAGTTATTGATAGAAGAGTCATAGACAGCCCGGTAGCCCAGTGCAGTCGAGACTGAGCACCGTCCCGACCCTACTTTGTACGGTACGTCAGTCCCGGTAGACTTGCTCATGACGCCATCCGAACTTACTCCTTGTCCTACAGAAACATACATCCCGTCCCAAGCTACGCACTCTCCCTCGCTAATAGACCCAGTGGTCACCTTTCGCTATGGATAATGCATCTACGACCTCGACCGCCTCTCCGCCTCCGGCACCACCGCCGCCTCCTCCACCGGAGAAAGTTGTTGCTCGGCCGTACAAGTGCCCGTACCCTTTGTGCGGTCGGGCGTTCAGTCGTCTAGAACACCAGGTATGTACCCACCCCACTCACATCCCATGATCCCGCGTTGCTCTAGGTCTATATTCTATCTCCCCCCGCTTGTACTGATCCGGACTTCGACAGACCCGTCATATACGGACGCACACGGGCGAGAAGCCATTTGTCTGCGCATTCCCTGGCTGCGAGAAGCGGTTTTCTCGATCCGACGAGCTCACTCGTCACTCGCGGATACATAACAATGATAGTCATGCAAGCGCAAAGGGCAAGGCCAAGGCTAAGCATGAATCAGCACATCACCACCATGACATAAGCGAGGGAGAGGAGGGACATGGAGTCTCTCCTATGAAGACGGAGAGTGCGGATGCTCGTGGGATTAGGGCAAAGAAGAAGGCAAGAAGTCGTGCTAACAGCGACGACGAGGTACGTTCTCTCCATTCCCTTCAATATCGTTAAGTTTACTTACACAGTCGCTAGGATGACTCGTATGCCCGTCCGACAGCAATATCTTCGCTCGATCAACTGCCGCATCCTCATTATACCCGACGCTCTGAGACACATCCCTTCCCCCTCCTTGCCTCCAATCCCTCTGCCTTCTCTGCCCTCTCGAGCGTTGCCATGGAGGAACTGTACGTCCTTGAGCGTCAGGAGGCGATGCGCCGCGCCGAATACGAGGTGTTACACAGCGAGGCCCTGCGACGCGCGCAGGCCATCCAGGACCTTGCAGGCATGCGCCGCAGCAAGAGCAAGAGCGCGACGACCAGCCCTGTTGGCACGCCGTTCTTCCATCCGTCCGCCGGTGCCGGCGGCGGGTACTTCGGAGTGGCGGTGAGTAGCGAGCGGGAAAGGGATGTGGATGCAGCATTGCCGGTGGAGAGCGAACGAAAGGAGAAGGCCAAAAGGAGACTGAGTGGACCCGCATGGCATATGACGCCTATGCATCATGCACCCGAACATATCGTGGATGCGCATCACAGTTCTCGTCACGGGCACGGGCACGGGCACGCTACGCACCATCCGTACCACCCCGCCTCTCATCATCATCACCAGCATCACCATGCGCACCATGAGGAGTCCCCGTCGCCGATTAGCACCGACTCGGAAGGTTTCGCTGCAGGGGCATACCCTTCGATGTCCCCACCTAATACATTCACAGTGCACCCGCATGGGCCGTCGTATCCGCCCCAACCGTACGTGCGCTCGTACCCACCGTCACGGGGAGAACTTGCTATGACGCCGTCGACGAGTCCCTTCTTGGGCCCCATGCGCTCGTTGAACATCCATTCGACGGATATCTCTCGTGCGCCATCGCCGATCTTGTTGCCACCAGCTTCGATGGGAGACACGGATTCCAAGTACGGCTACGGTCCCAGGATGAGGAAGACTAGCGGTCCGCATAGTCCGCCAACTGCTCACAAGCACAAGCGGCGACTGTCCTTCGACGGGTTGCACCAACCGTACCCCCCCAGCGCGCCGCCCGCAGGCCAGTTCCACTTTGGTCCCATCCCGGGTGCACCGACGCCCCAGCTTTCGAGTGGGCCAAGTAGCAGCAGTGGAGGGAGCAGTCCGAGGAGTTATACTGCATCTATAGGCGGTTCGAGTACTCACCACGGAAGCGGCTTCCACTTTAGCTCCGCGGTAGGGAGCGCAACCAGTTCACGCGCACCTTCTCCCCCTCCCACATGGCCCGCTTCATCAGCCAGTTCAAGTCATTCTCATGTCCACCATGCCCCTAACTCCGGGCACCATGCGCCGCACAATCCCCACCACCTCGCCCACTCTGTCAGGCTCGCTTTTGGGATGACCCCCATACACGCTACGACAGCGAGGAGCCATATATCAACTCCCTACCACCCCAATCCGTCGATGTCGTCGAATTCATCGAGCTACTTCGCTAGCGTGCCGGCGAGCAGATCAGGAAGTCCGCCCATTACCTTGCCCCCGCTGAAGATGAAGTCCCGACCAGGGTCGCCCCACCCGCAGTCGCCATCACCCATCGATGAGGACAGTGAGAAAGACGAGGAAAAGACGCAGAAGGAGAAGGTTGAGTTGCCGCATTTCAGTGAGTTTGAGGCTGCCACTGGCGCGGGCGAGGCGCGACAGCGGGCGTATGGCTTCCCTGGTCGGTAACTCGTGATGGTTGGATGTGCTCCTAGTTGTGAACCCCAGGACACTGCTTGTATTTGTCTCGGTTGATTTATTCGCTGCACGACTTAATGCCCTCTATATCCCGTTGCCCCGTTGCGCTTCGCTTTGCCAGTGAAGCTCCATCCAGTTATTTATTTTCATTCATACGGCCATAGACATAGACACGATATCCCCCCTCCGATTATAGACTGCCTTAGACTCATGATGGTTTTGGTTACGTTCAACATTTGTAGTACTTAATCATGGATGTTCCATCCACGGACAGTCCTTGCGCTGTACGCAGTCCGCAATTATCTATCATCATGAAGCCCGGATGACTTAGCGGGAACGCGGGTGAAACCGTCACACTTCTGGATATCCATCGGAAGTTGAACTAAGTTGGAGCTTGCAGGATTCGGCGCTTCGCCTCAGTCGCTGTGGCCTACGTCCTTGACGTGCCAGTGTAATAGCGATCCTTGCTACGTTGGTGAGTTTCTGACTATCATCCTTGGCCCCGTCGACGTCGCAGCTCAAGGCGTTCCACCCACAGCACCTGGACCATTTCTGAACGTTAACTTGAACCTCTCGCGCGGGTTAACTTCACCTGACGAACACATCGAGTTTGGAGGTCTGCGCGCATTCCTGACCTTGTCCAATGATTGAGGACGTCTGTGAAGCTTGCGGAAACCTTCTTGTCCGGTGATGGCTAGTACTCAAGCTCTTGCAATCGGATCCGCGCACCTGTTAAATCCCAGAATATATGAAAAATCAAGGAGTGATACTATAGAAGGATTCCTGCGAAGAGGTTTACCCTACTCGAGGTCTGGTTCCTTCCCGCTCTCATGGTAGTAATGGTGTGGAATTCAGACTTTGCATGTTATATTCAGGAGACTCGCTGCGCATACATCTTGCGTCAACGCTCTCTGCTTGTCGTCTGACGGAGGCAGATGGTTAGCGAGCGCTGGTGACGGTCAGTCACTCCAGGGGCGAATTAAGCGCTTGTTTTTATTTCGTCCCACTGTGCGCAGATTTGTGCGTCCTGTTATGGGACTTCCACCAAGAAGATGTCATGACGCCTTCAGTCTCTTTCCATGGACCAACTGTACGCCCATTTATGCTGTTGTAGCTAAGGAGCATCGGACAGTAGAGTAACCGCCGCGACAGGCCAATGTCTTTACAGTTGCGTTTTCTGCCCATAACCGGTACCTCTTCGCGTGAGTCTTGTTGATCGTAGCTCTTTCTTGACGAGTCTGAAAGCGACGTATGCCACCAGTGGAGACACCGATGACAAGATATACAAGTACGATTTATCCGAGCTCCCCGGTGCAACTACTCCGGGTGAATCTGGCGGACCATGCCAAACGATCCGATGTCATCATGTAAGGACTATGCTCCACCAAATCTGGATTTACTGAGCCATGTATTCGCCAGGATTCCCTTCGTTCAGTATCATGTCATCCTTGGCAAGACGAGGTATTCCTGAGCGCTAGGTACCCGTCAGGGTTGAATTTCCACCCGAGAGCACGTTACTGAACATATTCCAGTGAAGATGGGACAGTTGTACTTCATGACGGTAGAGATAATCGAAGTTTGACGAGAGCGGCAGCAACGCTGCTCAATGATTCAGAATTCAGTGACGTTAAATGGCATCCTGGCATGGAACATATTTTTGCTACTGGTGATACAAGAGGAAGGGTTTGCCTCAGGGATACGCGTATGGCATTCGGACCTCTCAGTCAGCGCCACAAAAACGGGATAGTCTACACGGTACGCTTGGATCTGACATTTCTCTGTAGTCAAGCTTACATTGTTAGTATAACACCACCGTTGCGAAAGGCAACCGGTGCAGTCGTCCTGAGGTTGGGAGCATTGCTTTCGACAGTGAAGGTAAGCGTGATCTCCTGTGCGGTACCCAATTATCCTATAATATAAACTCATTCGGGCAGGTATGAAGCTCGGAGTGCTCTTCCTGGTAAGAGCACCGTACACCTTCCAAACGAAACTCATGCATTTTCACAGCACTATCTCCCAACCATGTACTCTGTCACGGATGAGAATCCTATTGCTATCTGTAGTAGCACGGTTACGCCAGAGCAGCAGAGGACAACACCTGATACTAGGACGTATGAGAACTCTTGTACGATCAAGGTCAGGAAGGAGCTCTAGGGATGATTTTGTACTTCTGACACATTAATAGCATGCATCTTTCGGAAACATGGGTACACGGGGCGACAACTATTATGCAACCGGTTCAGATGATTTCCGTGCATACGCCTGGAAGATACCGGAAGTTGTTCAATTACACCACATGCGGGAAGAAATCAAATTCGAACACTGGGAGATGCAGAGTGGCGACCATCCTCCTGGTACGGCGTCTTCGTGTGTTCTTGTAAGCGCCGGTTCACATTTGTGCAGCTTTTGCAGATTATGCGAGCAAGAATATATACATCCCAGCTGAGCTCTCATCGCCGTTCACTAGGCTATGCGGTACGTTCGATGAGCCTTTCTCTTTCAAGAGAGTACTGAGCGCGCTTGATGTATATGTCCAGGTCATAAGTCGATAGTCAACAGTGCTGTTATTCACCCTCAGATGCCGGTTGTTCTCACAGCAGGGATTGAACGCGACATAATACTACACAGTGCCACCTCCACTTCACCGTCTTTCGAGGACCTTGATGAGACCGATACATTCGTGCGTCCGCTATTCGACCTGGATTCCGTTGCAGCACGGGAGGACAGAGGGACGATTGTGCTATTCGACCAGTATGCGTTAAATCACTCCTACTTCCAGTGGGCTTACCGTCTTCTATAGTCTTCTTGGGCGCGACGGAGACGTGGACCCCTTCGACAAACGCTCATGGCCGTTAGGAACTGATCCTGACTTGGATCCTGACGACGACGATTTTATGACTTGACATGCAGTGCCAGACGAACAAGGCATATGCATCCGCAAAGCCTGCGCGCGCTCCTGCGCGCCTGCCAAGAGGCAAAGCTGGGGCAGGTGCACGACGTGGACTGAGGGATGTCGCTGTGAACCCCAAACACACCAGTTCGATTGCACACGCATAAATTGCCGTCGTATCTCGCGCAAGCTTCATGGACCACGCAAGAAGCTGTCGGACGGGAAGGGAGACTTTGCTGTACAGATCGCACAGGGGTTTAAGCCATGTGGGGCGAAATAAAGGCACTGGGATACTCTAGCCCAATTGCAAGAGACATTTTGTCCCCACTAATAGTTTTCACCTGCTGCACCCCAGGGAAGCGACAGGGTGCACGACTGTTTATATATAATACAATGTAGAATACAACATATTAAACCCCGAGAGTAAGCAGCCAGATAAACCTCCGTCTACACCATCTCCTTTTCCTCTGAAAAGTAATCCGGCAATTCCTCCTCCACCTGCTTAATCTTCTCCTGAATAACTCGCTTCGCACTCAGCCGACAATCATGATGCATGTACGTGGCGCTGCCCCACTTGTCAAACTCTTTCGCCACCGCGCGCAGGCGTCCCAGGACATCAGCGAGGCCGAGCGACAATATACCTTCGGTCCTTGTCTTCTCCTTCCAGAAGTCCGACCAACTCTGCGTGCACCCATGCTGGTGCCAGGTCGCGCCGCAACTCGACGCATGCTCGAACGGCGGCGGATGCAGCCGCAAGTGCTCCCAGGCACGGCTCAGGCCATGGTACCCACATAGCAGGCGCAGTTTCTGCGGCCCGCTCACCACGAGCCTCCCATCAGGCGAGAGCAGCACCTCTATGCCATCGTCTTCTTCGTCCTCACTCTCGCCGTCCGCGTCCGGCGTCGCGCAGACGGGGATATCGACGTGCTCGCGCGCAACGACCTTCGTCTTCTGCATCACCTCGAGGTACGCCGCGCCCTTGAGCGTGCGCAAGTCGAGCTCGTCCGCGAGGCACATCGCGAGGTACGCGTACGGGACCGAGCTGCACATGAGCCGCTTGAGCAGCCCGACCATAGTGCCGAGCAGCGGCTCGTGCGCACAGAGGTGCGCCAGGCGCACGAGCCGCGCGAGGCCTGGCTTGAACGGCGGCGCGGTGGGTATCGTCGGGGTCGTAGCGGCGGAGAACTGCGCGAGGGCGCCAGAGGGGGCGAGGGCGGGTCGGGGGAAGAGGGGGGAGGGCTGCCGGGTGACGTACTCCTGGATGGCGTCCAGCGCCCAGGTCTCGAGGGTCTTGAAGGAGTACTTGTTGGCGACGAGGGCGATGTCCATCAGGCGCACGAGGTCGGCTTGCGCGGTGTGGACGACCATGAGTTCCGGAGGTCTGGAGACCCATGAGTATAATGCCCATGAACCAGGACAAAAGGATAGATCGTGCGGGGAGTACTGATAATGGAGTGGTCCGTGGAGTATTGAGGTCCTATGCAGCCCATAGGTGAGACCTTCACCCCGGAGCAAACACAGGATCGCATACACCGGACCAGCCAGCCTTCTCCCGCACGATGGTCGTCAAGTGGAAAGGCTCTTACAAGGCGTATAGAGCCCACAAGAAGTTCCTGAACTGAGCGACAGTGTCTCCAGGCAGGACAATCGGGTTGTCGTCCGACGTGCCCTCCATGGGCGTATCCCCCTGCGGGAGGCTGAACATCGTAGCAAACGATGACGAGTCTCGCGAGAGCATCGATCTATGTACCTGCCCGGAGCGTTCAGCGTCATCCCGTGCCTTGATAGCCCAGCATGAAGGTAGTAGCTCACATTGAATAATGTGTTCTCTACGAGCAGGATACAGCTGCCATCCTCCATATAATACTTCTCGTCCCTAACGACGTCGCACATCGTCGAATCAGTATAGCTAATGCTCCTGTCTCGCTCCGGCCAGGACTCAGAGCGGGGCCGCTTTCTGCTCTTGCTAGGTCCAGGCGTAAGTTCTTCGGGTGTCGGCGGTAACGGAGACAGTATTGAGGTTTCCTCCATATCGGCGATGTAGTTATTAAAGCGTGTTCACATCGACGAAATGTATATTGACGGGGAGTAGCAGGAATGGAGAGGAGTGAGCGGAAGCAAAGTGTAAGCGCGTAAGCCGCGCCGCGGTCGTGTGGCAATCGCATGCGCGATCGTGCCTATAAACACGGGTGTTATGGCGATGGCATGCAGCAGTTAGAATATTCCAAGTGACTGCTGGGTCCATGGAACGCAGACAAGACGCATTCAATTGAACTATATCATCGCGTTCAAACCACGCAAAAGCAACCTAGACAACTTTCCTCGGCCTCCCCCTTCCCCGTCCACTCGCCGCCCTCCCGACGACAAACCCAAAGTTCCTTTTCTCCGGCTCCACCCACGCCATGCCCAGCTTCTCGAAGAGCTCCTGCTCGCTCGCCACCTCCATGCGCTCCCACTTCCCCTCGTCTTCGTATCGCGGACTGTCTAATGACACCCACTGCCACAGCCCGTACTCGCTGAGATGCATGCGCTGCTCCAGCGCGCGCGTTTGTGCGTCCCTCAGGAACTCTGCGTCGCCCGTCAGCGCGAGCAGCGCGGCGGCTTTTGATTTGAACGGGGCGAGGCTATCACCCTGCACATTAGCTTCCGCCACTCATTCAAAGACGCCGTGACCGCTCACTGAAACTCGGCCTTCCTGAACACCCCTTCCCTCCTCTCAACCGCCCGCAGCCTCTCCTCCCTGCTCTCTCCCGCGCGAGGCATCCTGACCACCGCCACCGAGAGCTCCGTGCTACTCGACAGCACACCCGCGATAACCCCTTCTTCTGTCAGGCGCTTCAGCACCCGGCGCGCCATCAGCGTCGACTGGCTGCCGGCAGAGTACGCGGGGCGGAAGGCGTGGGGGTTGCGCCCGCGCTTCTTGCCCTTGCCGGGTTCGTCGGGAGGGTAGGCGGGCGTGGGCAGGGGCGGGTTGTAGGACGGGTGCAGGAGAAGGAGCGAGAGCGACGGTGAGGAGGGAAGGCCACGCCGGCTGTCATATACAGATTGGGGAGTCAGAGGGAGGTAGGCGACGGGGATATGGACGTACAAGGGGCCCACGGCATGAATCTCGAAGGTGGGTTCAAGCGCGTCGCGGATCAAGGCCTACAGTAGTTCAGTCGTGGGCTCGAGCCTGGGGGAGATGGCACGCTTACGATACTCGATTCAGTCTGCTCTCGTGTTACCTCCTGCAGGATGTGGTCGATGAATTCGACGCCGACCTGGATGGGAGGCGAGAGGAGGTCTTTGAAGTGCGGGTCGCGGAGATGTTGGAGGGACAGACAGCCCTCGTTTACGAGGTCCGTGGCCAGCTTCTTGCTGCCATTTGAAGAAAGGGAAGTCAGACAGACAACATGATGTACGGGAGAACAGGCGTACCCTATACCAGGCACAAGCTGCAGCGAAGCAATAGCCTTTTTGCGAGTCTCAATGTCTAACTCGGGTACGGGTTCGCGCTGGACGCTAGATAACCCCTCCTTCGAGGAGCTCGCACTGAAAGGGATCTGGTTTACTCATCATGTACACGAGGACGGATACCAACACGAAATGAGAGCACTCACGCATGCTCATCTCCTTCATGCAGGTATACTGCGATCCGATGCGCGATACCGTGTCCAATACCTCGGACCTGGCTACCTATTCAGAATGCCTATAGGTGTTGCAGTCTCACGAGAACGCTCACAATTTTCGCCTTTTCTGCCGTTCTCCGCGCATCCGTCGACTTCAGCGATGCGAGTGGGTAGTCGAGCCCCTCAATGGCTCTTATGGCACGAGCGAATGCGACTATTTTATACTTATTCGCGTCAGGTCGAGATTCCTCTTCCTTCAAAGCTGACCTTGTCTCATAAGTCCTCGCTTCGAGCGATGAACGACTGACAGACTCACTTCTCTTCAACAATTGTACGATTTCCCTGTTAGCAGTCCTTGCAGACGTGGATACAGAGCGAACAAGAGCTACGGATAAACAAGCAGATATACGAGACCCTTTCAACATATTTGGCGTCACCGTCGGCGGAGACGCCTGCACTGTCGGTGGACAGTCATGTCTGCGTTGGACGCTGGAGAGATGCCGTGGCTGTGCTGAGCAAGAAGCTGCTTACGTGATGGGCGCGTCGCGTCTTTCGCGGCCAAGTCCAAACTTCCAACGGCTGCATCTCAGCTTACACCCGGCTCTTGCATTCACACCACTACCTGCTGCAAATCTGCCGCCGACTGCTGAGCAACCTGCTCTGACGGTTCTGAACAGTTGTGACAAAATTTGCTGTCGAGACGGCCCAGATCTGCTTGCAGCCGGTTTTGATTGAAGTCTTGAAGGACTATCCATTGCCTCTTTCTGCAGGGCGTGCATAAACCATGGCCGACCCGCAAGGAAACTCAAATGCGACCGGTTCGGGACAGAATTACTCCTTTGACAAAATGTCGGACTCCCAGCTGCGGCAAAACATCACCCAACTGGCCGCAGCGGGCAAATCCCAACAATTCCAAGTCTACGCTTCCCCAGCGCCCCAGCCCGCGCAGGGCACAGACGTCACTTGTAGGTATACCCCGCTTTCGTCCAAAAGTGCGCCTGACGCGGGAACTCCAGCCACTTATCTCTCCAACATCCGCAACTGGACAGCGTCCACGACACCACCGCCGAAAACACCAGTCGGCGTCCGACCAGGTCGCCCAAGACCGGCCCGAGGAAGCACCCTAGCGCCCACCCCCCAGCCCATCAGACAAGCCACACCCGCCCGCCGCACCCCCCAACCCATTGCCCCGCAAGGCGGCCTCCCATCCGCGGCTGCCATGCCCGCCCCGCCACCGCCCCTGCGATCCAATGTCGCACCGTCCCCCCTCCCCACACAGACCCAAGCCCTGCACACAACCTACCCCTCGCGTCTGCGCACTGGCGCGACCCTCCTCATGCAGCCCATCCTCACACCCAACACCACGCCCGGCGCAGCGACCACGACGCGCTCACGCCGCGGCGCCGTCATCAACTACGCGGACCCCGGATCGGGCGACGACATCCCCGACGCGGGCGCCATCGAGAGCGACGACTCGGACTTTGTTGCGAGCGGTGGATTAAGGTCCGCGGTGCGCGCCACAAGGGGGGGAGGGAGCAGGGCCAATGCGGGTATGGGGGTCTTCCACAGTGGTGCGTCGACGCCGGTCCCGGGGCAGCAGTCTCACGGGGCACAGGGAAAGGCCGAGTTGGACCAGAGCTATCTAGGGGCGATTCCGCCGGCGCGATTTATCAATGCTAAGGCGGTGGCTCCGACAAAGCATGAGTATTTGTGAGTCCGTCTCCTGTATTTATCTCGCAGGTTCGTAAAACTAGGGTTTCCAGCGCCGAAGGTCAGCTAGCACAACAAGCACAGAAACCAACATCACTCGTGCCCATCCGCGTCGAATTCGAAACCGACACCCATCGAATACGTGACTGCTTCGTGTGGAACCTGCACGAGGACCTCATCAAGCCCGAGACATTTGCGCGCATCTTCTGCACCGACCTCGACCTGCCGCATGTCCCCTGGGTCGAGACCGTCGCGAACCAGATCCGCGCGCAGCTCGAAGACCACGGCGACGTCGCCGCCATGGACCTCGACGTGGACGAGCAACACGCCGACGAAATCCCCGAATGCCGCGTTATCCTCAGCGTGAGTACCCGCACCCCATGGTCTGGTCAGCCGTGTCATTGATACGCAGTACATGTTCCCTTTACTATTCTCTCTACAAAGATAGATGTGCAGGTCGGCAACTACCACCTCATCGACCACATCGAGTGGGACCTGCTCTCGTCGCTCACGCCCGAGGCGTTCGCACAGACACTGTGCGCGGAGCTTGGGCTGTCGGGCGAGGCGCTGCCGCTCATCGCGCACGCGGTACACGAGGAGCTCGTCAAACACAAGAAGGACGCGATCGAGTGGGGTGTGATCGGGCTGGAGAGGGAGAAGGAGGCGGAAGAACACGCTGCAGATAAGCCGAGGGATAAGAGCGGGTTGAGCTTGCTGAAGGACAAGACGGGCTTGGGCCTCGGGTGGGGCCGCGCGCCGAAGGACGGGAGGGGACCGAAGACGCTCAGGAGCGTTTGGAGGGACTGGAACGAGGCGGAGGAATTTGCGACGCGGTTTGAGGTGCTCACCGCCGAGGAGGTTGAGAGGAGGGAGATTGAGAGGGAGAGGGCTAGTCGGTGCGTTTCTACCGCTCATATTATGTTAGTACGTTTGCTGAGGGTGGCTGCAGCCGGCTACGGAGAGAGACGTCGAAGTTCCAGAGCAGTCTGATTGCGACGCGGCGCAGACGGTAGCAGCAACACCCTACCCCTCTATTTTTCCTGCAGGATTGTCGCCGGTTGAATCTCATGGTACAGAAGGTGCTCAGTCTGCCTTCGTGCGTGAGCGGGCGCTCGAACGGGATTGTAAGGAGGCCGGAGGCATACGTGTACAACTGAAGCCCAATGGGCGTCAGTCAATACGGTGCCGCCTCGGCATCCCCCCATGCATCGTGGCAGACGCAGTATACAGATCATATCATGCTTTGGAACCCAGGCGCACAGCTTTCAGGGTGCTTACCGGAACCCTTCACGTTGGAGCTAAGGGGATCGGCCAGTAGGTACCAGTAGCTAAGTCAACAATCAGAGTGAGTTCACCTCACGTTATGATTCCACTCGGTGCATGGGTACACTTGTACATGTGTAGCGAGATGTCTAAGGGTTCCAACATTGAGTTCGAGTTCTGAATTCAGACAGGTACCGGCGTATACGCTACTGGATAAGGCTAGCTATAGCCAAGGTGTCATTTCCGAACAACTTCCCGAGAGGAAATACGAAACAGGGTGTGCTTTACTTCGATATCCATGCGTGGCATTGCATATCGATGCGAGTCATTGTCTACTTACTTAGACTGCGCACAGACATAACCTTACACGTCGCAATGATTGCCAACGGCGGCGATCCGGTACTCGCCTATTCCCTACGGGGAACCTATAAAGCAGCGTGATTTTAGCGGCTTCATCGAGAAATGACCGACGAAATCACCCTCTACGACCTCGCAAGCAATCGCCCAAACCCCAGAGGATGGTCGTCGAATACCTTGAAAGCAAGGTAGGAATGCATGCTGTCAATCGTCAACCACGATCACCAGCTAATGGCTTCCTTGCGCAGGTTTGCCTTGCAGCTCAAGGGTATCCCTTTCAAAACCGTCTGGGTAGAGTTTCCGGACATTGAAAGCGTCTGCAAGAGCCTTGGCGCACCGCCGACCAGCGTATGGCCGGACGGACAGCCGATGTACACTCTCCCAGTGATCAAGGATCCGGGGACAAACACGGTCCTCGCTGATTCGTGGGCCATCGCCAAGTACCTAGATGCCACATACACAGCGAGGCCCCCTCTTATTCCGGAAGGGACAGACGGTCTTCAAGCTGCATTCTCGGATGCAGCGACACGGATTGCAATGATGCCTATGAGCCAGGCATTCCTGCCCTTGATACCTAATCTCCTGAATCCGTCGAGCATACCGTACTATCGCTTCAGGCGGGAGCAGATGCTAGGACTGAAGTTGGAAGATTTCTGTCCGCTAGAGAAGAGGCCAGAAGTGCTGGATACGGCGAAGAAGGGATTCAGCGTTGTGGCAGGGTGGTATGCGAAGAGCGGAAAGGAATACTTGATGGGAGAAAAGCCGTGCTTCGCTGACCTCAGCTTGGGTGCGTTCCTGGCCGGAACAAAGCAGATCTTTGGAGAACAGTCAGACGAGTGGAAGCTTATTAAGACTTGGGACGATGGCAGATGGGCGAGGTTGTTAAAATCAATAGAAAGTTTGTCCGTTGCTGAATAAGATTGAATATCTTATCAACTCAGCTGGAATCAGATACGGATGTGATCAGCATTTAAAAGGCGGTCAAGCTAGCGCAAAGGTCGTTAGCGAAAGCAACGAAGATATGTTTGAAATCGTTCTCTACGACCTCCCTCGGAAGGATCCAGAAAGCGGACCATGGTCCCCTAACACACTGAAGACGAGGTAAGACCTCTAGACTACACTGAAAGTTAGAGCTAACCCCCAACGCTTCGCAGACTTGCTTTGAAGTACAAGGGCTTGCCTTTCAAGACCGTCTGGTTGGAATACCCGGACATTGTTGCGGAATGCAAGAAGATAGGGGCTCCTCCTACCGGGGCTCAACCGGACGGCAGTCCTTTCTACACCTTGCCTGTAATTTATGACCCTTCCACTAAGAAGGCGGTCGCAGACTCTTACGCTATCGCGGAATACCTCGACGCCACTTACCCTACGGATAGGCAGCTGATGCCAGCGGGCACGGAGGGACTGCATGCAGCCTTCTACAGCGCCTTTGATAACCATGGTTTCTTCCCACTGGTCTTCGTTTACGGGCCGTTGATTCCAACCATCCTGAACCCCCCGAGCGAGGAGTACTTCAGACGAACGAAGAAGGAGACGCTAGAACAGATGGCACAAACAGAGCAGGACGAAGCGCTGAGAAAGGGAAAAGCAGGCTTTGATGTAATACAGGGTTGGTACGAGAAGGCGGGAAAGGGGAAGCTATTCTTGATGGGAGATACGCCGTCCTGGGCAGACATTGTAGTCGCATCAACCCTTGCGTCCGCTAGGAATATACTCGGGAGACACTCGGAGGCCTGGAAAGCTATCTCTGAGTGGCATGGAGGGAGATGGGTGAGATTGACGGCCGCGCTGGCGGAGTAATAGTGACAGGTACTTGTAGTAGCTGTAGGGGGTTTCCATGTCGAATGTTCATTAAATTTACATCCCTGAGGCCTTCTCAGTGGGCGTGCTATATTTACTGACCCAGAACGGCGTCGGTATGCCAGCCCGAAGTATTCTAGACATGATCTTCATGATCAGATATAGTGCGGCGGAGCAGGCTAAAGATGAGGAGGTGCGAACGCTGATGTTAATTTGAGGCAACTTGTGTGGCAAGGTCTGTACAACTACGCTGCCTCTCCTGATCTTCTACGTCTAGCGTCTTCAGCATTCATCTCGTTCTCCGCCCAATCCCACAGTCTATGCCTGCGTGCTACTCTCGACACGACCATAGACACTAAGACAGCATATTTGTGAGCAAGCCGCCTCCATGCCGAGAGGTTCCACGAATGCACAGTCGTCCGAGGTACAAGCTCTGAATAACCTGCTCGCGTCTCTCGACCTGCCTTTCACCTTGGAGTCTCCGGAAGAATTGATACCTTCTCTTCTGCTTGCAATACTGGAGTCCATACTCCGGACTCGCCTCCCCATCGCAGCGAATATACGGGAATCTCGGACTTTGGCAGATAAAGTCCAGGCAATGAAGATCTTCTTAGGGGTTCTGGAGAACGACATTATCGGGGTTGACGTCGGGCTCAGCGACATGGATCCCAGAAAACTTGCCGTAGGGGAACATGAGGAAGTAGTATTCGTCGGAGAACTCCTGTGCTGGCTGAGCAGAAAGCATGGTCTAGGGCTGCCAGGTGAATCTCTGGATACTATTCCTGATGTGCCTCCGATGCATTTCAGAGACGCCAGAGTGTATGATCGAGCACCATCTCCATCTGTGCATTCTACTATCACAAGTAGTCCCAATACGACGTATTCGTTTCAGACCCACGCCATACTCTCCGCTGACACGACCGCTATTGATCTGACCGGCTCGCCCACGGATACGTATGCATCTACTCTTGCTCGAGGGCGCTCCGAGCGGAGGTGCAGGCCCCGGTGCATCCACGAAGTCGATGATTCTTCATTCCTCGCAGAGCTCCATGGGCTCAGACGGCCAGGCCCAAGCAACGAAACTCGGAACGAACCCGAGGACTTCTCGGCTGACGATTTATCTGCCTCTTATTGCGACTGTTCTCATAATGTCTCTTCTCAGCAGACCATCCCTGTTAGGACTGCTGGATGGCTGGACGAGGTTGATCCTAACCTTGAACTGGCGTCCTTCGAATCAAGCAGGAGAATGCAAGGGCGGGCAGGCCAATCTTGTCGCTCCCGAGAAGCCTCGACTTCCATTGCTACGGTATGTCTCATTTTCTACCGTTACTCGGCCGAGCGCCCATAAGCCATAATTAGGACCGCTCGAAGGGCGGGTCTACGTCGTATCCCGTAATCACGAAGCACAACTCTCCCAACCAGCATAGGCTTGCACTATTGAACGAACGAGCCAAGCTCTTGGCGGAACTCGCCACCTTGAAATCCAGGAAGAAATAAGGTTGGACCTACTCTTGCTGGAGCGGACGCTGCGCAGGCATGTTTTCCAGGTCTCGCTTGTTCCGATCCAGCACTGACGCAAGAAACAATGTTCATTATGTTGGTTCAACCTGTGGCGGTATTGTTGTCTCTGCAGTCACGTGCTGTCTGATTCTTGTCTTCCGATACCTCATGATTTACGTCTATTGTCTCGCAAGTATGTCCTCAGAATTCCGGGAACCCTGGAATCGCTCGGTGAACCCTTATTATGCTCGACGTGCCCTGTGCCGCGCCCACCGACAATCTCCATGACTTTAACTCGACGACGTCCCTCGCTCGCGCCTCTCCGTCTGGGCAGCATATCTGAGGAGGAAGCTCCTGGTATGCTCAACCTCGGAGTAGAAAGCCCGTCCTCGATAATGGAACCCTCGTCAGCAGCGGGTCAAGCATCCCCAGATGAGTGGCTGAGAAGTGGGATCGCTGTAAATACAAATGTACCTATGCGGCGGAGGAGCTGGAGGAGTCTCTCCTGGCTGCAAGAGAAGCACAGAAGGACGTTTTTTAGAAGCGAGACTCGTGATGATTGTGGCATATGGTAAGCATTAGACTCTCGTTTGCTGCCTCCTAGCACCGCTGACCTGAGGATCACAGCTTTGAATCCGCTATTTTGCCTATCCGAGTGAAATGTTGCCTTCAGCTCTTCTGTTTTGCGCACCTATCGGATGTACGTCCTCCTTGTCTGAACTGCAGCGCCTGACTCAATCTGCATTCCAGTGGCTCGGGTCCGAGCAGTCTGATGGCTTATGTCCATCCTGCAGGAAACCCTGTAGTCTCAGTACGGACGCCGTTTCGCTCGCTTCGACTCCTAAGAATGAAGGGCACCCTGAGTTGGTGCAACCACCCTTACCGCGCAGGGCGCCATCGCCATCCTCACTCATCTGTCCTCCCACTACTCCGCGCTTCCCATCGTCAGCAACTTGGGTCTCTGGTAGAGAGAACCATACCTCCAGCGGGTCTGGATCACTGCGTGAGCTAATTGCTGGCGATGATGAGACCGGGTCTGAACTGGATGTCGCGCGGACGCTGAGCTACTTTGCATTCGCTATTGTATTATTCGTACTCTTCTCTGGGTCCTAGTCTCCTGACTCCCCCGGATCCCCCCCCCCTCCCTTCGCGTTCTGAACGGTCGGATATGGTTTCTCGTATTGGTGCGAGTGTATGTATCATAAGTAAACTCGATTCGAATTTGAAAACATTCGAAAGCCGGGGTGTACTACGTATGCAACGCGTGGGAAGGGAGCCTAGTCCAGCCTTCTCTTCTCCTCGAAACACATGTCCGGTGCTATTCCCTTGTCTGCAATCCGGACTTCAGTGACCTCCCAATTCCTTGCCGAAGACAGAGAAGATACACCCGTAGGGAATGTCGAGGATCTCTTCCCAGCATCGACGTCTTTCGACCATGGCGGAGACGCGATAGAACTCATTCGCCCGCCCTGGAAAAGGGATCTGTACGAGCTGCTGGAACAACCGACGTCCTCGCCCTCTGCTTTCCTGGTCCATGTGCTGACTACTTCCTTGATTGTCGTATCTGCTCTGGTGACCGTGATGGAGACCGTCCCCGCTTTTCATCATATATCTGGGGGTCTTTGGTTCGGCCTCGAGACAAGTCTGGTCGCCCTGTTCACAGTGGAATACATCGCTAGATGTACTGCAAGGACGTATACTCTGCGCGCTTTCGTTGGATGGATTACCTGTGAGTATTCCGCCGAACTCTTCCTATCTCATACTGACTGCAGACCGCCAGCATTCTTTGGAATAATAGACCTGCTGGCTATTCTACCCTACTACATCGAAATTGCTCTCCGGCAGGATACAGTGAGTTCTCTAAGACCCCCCACCAGCTTTAGCCTCAACGCAAGGATCCAGTCTGTTCTTTTCCGCTTTTCTATACTCCGTACATTCCGCCTGGTTCGCGTCTTTAGGCCTTTCCGTTACAATAATACGCTCTTATTGTATGTGGTCCTTATACATCCGAATGAAATACATTGTTGAGCGTTATTGCAGGACTATCGAAGTCATGTATCTATCTTTCAGAAGATCCCAGCATGCTCTCCTGGCGCTCAGCTTTTTTGTATTGATGGTTCTAACAGTGTTCAGCACTCTACTGTAGGTTCTCTTCATTATGTTATGACACAACCCCCAGGTCTCATAACCCGTACAAGATACTTTGCGGAGCGGGGAACATGGGATGAGACTCTCGAGACGTTCATCGACGTGGATGGCGATCCAAGTCAGTTTTCTGTATGTGTTACATTTCTCCGATCTCTGGCGCAAATCATGACCGGACATTCCTTAGTCTATTCCTGCAGCTGCTTGGTAAGCTCATTGACCTCGCTCAAGAGTGCCTTCCTAACGACGGTCCTGGTCTGGCATAGGTTCGTGCTCGTCAGTGAGTTATGCCACCCTCCTCAACATGTCTGTCTCTGGTCTCTGAGCATCATCGGGAAATAGCTATCACAACTGTGGGATACGGTGAAATTACACCCCGCTCTTTCCTTGGACGTCTTATTACGCTACCCCTACTGCTCTTCGGTCTGCTACTTATCGCTTTACCGAGTTTTGTACTCGGTAGGGAATTCAGTATCGTCTGGGCAAAGATGACGAAGAATCAGGTATGTATTTATCTCATTCTTCCCGGGAAACTGACGAGACTAGTCACTTTGAACAGAACATAAATGAACCTCTGGTATCGGCATCTGTGGCCAATTTCCATGACTTGCAGAACCCTGCTCAGTCCGACATCTCCCGCGACCTCTCAAATCGAAAGCTTGCCCAAAACCAGGCGGAGCTCAGTCGGCAGATTACGGAGCTAAGGACGGCCCTGCAGATGCAAGGGGAGACTCTGAGGACATTACTTGAAATAATGGAGAGTGAGAAGGGGAGGATGCGCCCCAATGGCGCTATGCACATAAGTTAGCTCGCGATAATGGGCAATTGTTAGGTATACCGTCTCATCGAAGTTGCTCGGGTACATTGATTCATGAGACCGCTTACAGTTAGTTCTTCGTATGGGTCCGTGTGTAGACTATGTGTTTATATGGGTAATGTGGAATCACGGATACTTCTCGGACCAATTAGTTCTGTTCAAGGACGATCGTGACATGGAAGCCAGTCCGGGTTCACGGTTGACCATTTTCTCTCTGGACCCTGGATAAGGTCTGCTGATCATGTTCCTTCGCACCTGCTAGGATGACAGACTGCCGCTGCCAGCACGTGCCCTGGGAGTCGGATGGGACGAGAGAGAATGAGCTACGTATATTTGATTCTTCGAGTATTACTTTCGAAAATCCAGCACAGACGTGACGGATAGCTGAAATTCCAGGAGCTACGGTGCCAAGGCTGGGCTGGCTACGCTAGGCTTACCTTCCATAGCGTATAATCGGGTAGATCTGTAAGCCCCAAAAGATGCACGACGAGGTTGCGAAACAACCAAGGTATATTCGGACGTGGGCTATTTCAGGCTCATAGACAGTTGTCCGAATAGAGTCCTCTTGGGAATACGATTCGAAATACCCGCTACTCCGATGGCGAGCAATCCTGGGGAGCTATCGCTAGGGTGAAAGATTACGAATACTGCTTCCCCGCGACATCATCTGCGCTGGCTGGCAAGGACGGAAAGGCGATTGTTCAGCATACCCGGTCCGGTGAGCCCACCTGAGCTTATATACCACAGGGCCAAAGTATAGGTCTTGCAAACCAGCCCGCGCCCTCACGAATCAGTAAATCATCCCCCTCCAACCATGTCGGACGTCATTACTTTCTACGACATCCCCTCTATCAAGGGCATCAGTTGGTCGCCCAACACTTGGAAAACGAGGTGAGCTTACCGCAATACTTCTACAGACCGGGGCCAACCAGAATAAACCCCAGGTTGGCGCTCAACTTCAAGGGTATCCCGTACAAGACCGTCTGGGTTGAGTACCCTGACATCGAGGCTCTCTCCAAGGAGATCGGCGCTGCACCGACTGGCGTAAAGGGCGACGGCAGTCCCAGCTACACTCTTCCGGCCATCTATGACCCAAAGACTAAGAAGGCGATCTCTGACTCGCAAAATATCGCCGAATACCTAGATGCCACTTACCCCTCGACACCCACGCTCTTCTCGGCAGGCACTCTCACCTTGCAGATCGCCTTCCAGGAGGCCTTCACGACTGCAGCATTGGGAAACCTTTTCGCGCCCTTGTTGCAGGAGAGTGGGTTCATCCTGAACGAGAGGAGTGCTGTCTATTTTAGGCAGACGAGAGAGGCAACGTACGGGAAGAAGCTGGAGGAGTTTTCGCCTTTGGGCGCTGTTCGAGACGAGCACTGGAAGAAGACTCAGGCCGGCTTCAGCACCGTCGCCGGGTGGATCCAGAAGAGCGGAGGGCTGTATGTGATGGGGGACAAGGCGTCCTATGCTGACTTGAGCATCGCTGCGTGGGTTCTGTGGGTGAGGCAGGTTAGGGGAGCAAGCTCTGCTGACTATCAGAATATCTTGACATGGGATAGCGGCTTCTGGGGGAAATACTTGGCGGCATTGGACAAGTACACGACTCCTGACGCATGAGCGCTGTAGACCATTATTGTTGTATTACTATCAAATCACGATGCCATCATTCGCCATGATTTACAACTGATTCGGAGTGCATTTCTCATCGATGTCGGGGACTGCGCCTACTGATATGCATTTATGCATCGAAAATGCTTCGCAACATCAATAAAAAATGAGACGTTATGTACATATTGTATTCACGGACCCGGGTATATCGACTCGCTAGGTACAGCAAGTAATAAGATCTGAAGGGGGGGAGGTCACCACTGCTGTTAAGTCGAGAGCATACTGAGATACTACGGAGAAGCCAGTCAGTGTTAAGAAACAGAAAGGGACGAATAGAAGTAGAAGTGAAGCATCTCAGCGAAAAGAAACTCGTCATTCCTGCCTGTCTCACGAGGCAGTCGTACTCATTAAATCAGACATCATAGATGGAGTCGGGCGAACAAGGCAAAAAAAATGCAGACTCACGCGTTAAACGAAGACGCAATGGCAGTGGAAGTAGTCAGAGATTGCGATACCGCCAAAGTTCCGTACTGATTGACCAGCGGAGGCCAGTGGTATAAGATGATCGTCGTCGTTGTACATGTGAGACCAGATTTGAAAAGACAAAAGGACCGGATTCGATATATTAAGGATTGCACTTGTTTGTGGCAAGTGGCTGTGATTCCCACATGTGCTCTTAGACACCGACTCGGAGTCTCCTCATTGGGACCTCCGGGAAGAGACCCTCTTCAGGTGTGTCCCATATTAATAACCATATCTTCGAGGCATCGCACAGCTTCGTTGTCTTTGTCTACCTACTGTGACCTTTTTCCCGACGGAAAATTCTGGTGGGCCGATTGGATCGACTTGCTAGGCTTTTGCGTCGTGTCTACGGAGACAAGGCTCCCAGCAGTGACAAGGTAAAACAATACCCCAGCTCTGCAATAGTGGCATTCTACGGGAGTGGCGTCTACCGGAAAATCTCGTGCAGGGTACTCAGGAGAGGCTTGAATCTCTCTCCAGCCTTTCTCCCTCTCTCTCTCCAGATATCAAGCAGTCCTAGTAGAGCTCAAACGCCCGCGAGGTGAGTAGGATACATTTAGGCTCCATTATTTGCAGGCGTCGTCCCATAGTAGCCCTCTCCTATCGGAAATTCTCTAGTCAGACTGTGATTGCAGCGATCACCGGTTTGGAGAATTCCCGAAACTCTGTGACTAACATTCACTGATAGATCCTTTGAATCACATCTTACCATCTGCAAGTGTAATGTCTGAACTCAGTGGCAGCGTCCGAAATGCTGCTCTCCCGGCCACCCGAGGGTATCAACAGGAGATGCTCGACGAGAGTCTACGAAAGAACATCATCATCGCTCTGGACACCGGATCTGGCAAGACGCATATAGCAATCTTGAGAATGAAACTGGAAGCCGATCGAGAGCCTCGCAAGGTAGAAATTATGCACACTACATGCGGTCTCGTTGTGTTGACCATAGTCTAGGTATCGTGGTTCATCGCCCCAACCGTTGCGCTTTGCGAGCAGCAGCGCGACGTTATCGACAAAGCCCTGCCCGTGTCTGTAGGGATCATCTCAGGTTCGCTGGAGCCGGATCAATGGAAGGATCCTGCGCTGTGGCGCCGAGTCCTGGATACACATCGAGTCATGGTGTCCACACCTCAGGTCCTTCTCGATGCCCTTCGTCACGGTTATATAAACCTTGGGAAGGACATCGGATTGATCGTCTTCGATGAGGCACACCATGCAGTCGATAACCATCCGTACAATCGGATTATGAAGGAATTTTACTTCGCTCTGCCACGTCGTCCACATGGGATGGGGTCTGGAGCGGGAATCGTTGACGGGAATGGCAACCCTGCCAGCATGCGGCCGATGATCCTGGGACTAACGGCTAGTCCGATCTACGGTGGTCATGTAGAGCAAGCATTTAGGTGCGTAACCAAATGACCTGAATGGAATCACGGCTGACAGTGATTTGCAGAGTAATTGAAGCTAATTTGGATTGTGCCATCCGCGCACCTCAGAAGAATCGGAACGAGTTGAGCTCGTACGTCCATCGACCTGTATTCAAGCACAAGATGTACCACAATGCCCCGTACTCGCCATCCGTGAATATCTTGGCGTTGCAAGTAGTCCTGGACAAGATGAATATCGAGGACGATCCCGCGATACAGAACTTGCGAAAGCAGCTTGCCAATCTGCCTCCGGGTCCGGAACGAACGCGCGTGGATCAGAAACTGTCGAAGTGGCTAAGCAAGGAGGGCACGTATACCCATAAGGGTCTCCGCGACCTTCACAGGACTGCGGTCGAAATATGCGCCGACGTCGGCCCTTGGGCAGGGGATTGGTATATCGAGACCGTGTTAGAGCAAGCCAGAACCGCCTCCAATCCTTACCACAACTTATACAGCGCCTGGCAGAATAGGGAGAAGAAATATTTGATGGAAAAGCTTGCTCAAGTCAAGATAACGCCCACATCGTCGTTGCCGAAAGATATTGTCGAAGGTACTTCGAACAAAGTCGACAGGCTTATCGAATGCTTGGAACAGGAAAAAGCAGAGAAGGAGGCCTGCAACGAAGAATACAGTGGTTTGATCTTTGTGACCCGTCGTGATGCCGTACTTGCGCTCGCCGAAGTCCTGAGTCGCCACCCTCGTACTCGTGATGTCTTCCAAGTCGGCTCGTTGATCGGCAATTCCGACAGTTCTCATCGACATTCCTTCCTGGATATAACTCGGACGCTCATCAAGCAGACGCCGTCCGAGACGTTGCGAGACTTCCGTATCAAGGAGAAGAATCTCATCGTCGCTACTGCGGTAGCCGAGGAGGGCATCGATATACAGGCGTGCGGAAACGTTATCCGATGGGATCCACCTCAGAATATGGCGAGCTGGGCACAAAGCAGGGGCAGGGCCAGAAGGGAGAGGAGCAGCTTCATACTGATGTTTAGCGACGACAATGTCTTTCGGAAGCAAGTCCTACAGTGGGAAGGGCTGGAGAAGCAAATGGTGGCCCTCTATAATGATCCTAATAGACAGGTCATAAAGATGGTTGACGAGACCGACGAAATGGATGAAGACGACGAGGAACTACTTTACAGCATCCCGAGCACTGGGTAATTCTTCAATCACGGATTTGTATGCTTGATTATCTAACGTCTTGTCTATCAGAGCCGTTGTGACGCTTCATTCTGCCATTGGACATCTGGCACATTTCTGTTCCATTCTACCTGGAGCTGCTTATGGTCACAATGCGCCGCTGTATGATATAGATCCTCCCGATTTCCCTGAGGGCTGGCACGCGAATGACCCCCGGCATCAAGGACTCCCATATCCTGGACCCTTCGGCGCTACGGTGACGCTCCCTCGCTACGTAGATGCCGATCTTCGTGTGCATACTGTACCTCGCAAGTACCCCAGCAAGATGTCTGCCAGGCGGCATGCCGCGTATTTTGCGTACATCACACTTTACGAGGCAGGTTTGCTCAACGAGCACCTGTTACCCCTGACTAGCGCCGTAAATCCTCAGGACGAGGATGTTCAAACCCTCCTGAAAGACGTGGAGGGGAGAGCTGGCACAACGCACGTCACTGCCCAAATAAACCCGTGGATACCTTCCAAGAAAGCTGTCGGCTTGTGGTTCGCGACTGAAGTGGCAGTCGAGGGGCTACCTCCCCTTCGCATGTTGTCGCGGGTACGCATCCCCAATCTCAAACCCGAGGACCTACCGACTCTGTACACTGCTGAGCGGGGAAAGCTGGTCGTCCAAATTCGCGACCTTGGCCCGGTCGTTCAGTGGGAGGCTGAAATTGAGCAAGGCCGGGGATACACTCGCCAGTTGTTATGGCCTCTCTACGGGCACCGTATGACATGGGACCAAGTTAACTTCGCGTATATGTTCTTTCCCATCGCCGAAGCCGATCATACTCTCTGGGAGGAGCGAAGGGAATGGGCTAAAACCATCAACACACAGTCTGGGCACCCGTCAAAACCGCATGACAAGTTTAGCATCAATGGCAAAGTCTTTGGTGAACATCACTCGTTCCCAAACGATGTGACAATTATCCGAGATGGCGGATGGCCTGGTAAACCTTATCAATTCATGGCCTGGAAGAGTGATGATTTCTCCTCGGAGCAAGTGGAAGCGTTCGACGAGAAATATGGCGTGTCACCTTACGCCGTTGGGCATCCACTGTTGCTAGTTCGACGGCTTCCTCGACGGGTCAACTTCCTCGTCCCTCGTGATCCTCAGGTGGAAGCACTAGCCGATGATAGGACAGTCCTGCTGGACCCTGCGTACGTCCTAGTAGATCTCATCTCCAAAATCGAGGTTCAATATGCCAAATTCATCCCTGCCATACTACGGCATCTATCCCTGAAGATGACAGTTGTGTCCCTGAAAGATGATTTGTTTACCGAGTCCTGTCCAGTCTCGACGGCCCCTTTGGAATATCTAAGTACTGCCATCACTGCACCCGTCTCGCAAGAGAAGACGAACTATCAGAGAATGGAAACGCTGGGCGACACAGTACTGAAATTCCTCACGAGCATACATCTCCTGGCGGAGTTTCCTCTGTGGCATGAGGGTTATTTAGCCAAGAGGAAGGACCATGCAGTGTCAAACGCCAATCTTGCGAAAGCAGCTGTGTCGCATCGCCTCTATCGCTGGATAATCCGGGATCGTTTTGTACCCAGGCGCTGGAGCCCAACGTATGAAGAACCCGTCGTGGTGGACAAAGTAGACGGTAATTCGGACAAGGAGTCCTCCAAGACGAAGCAGGAGTTATCTACCAAGGTCCTGGCAGACGTAGTCGAGTCCCTCATCGGCGCTGCCTACTTGCACGGAAGCTTCGAGCAAGCAATGGAATGCACTCGGTTCTTCGGCCTGGGCCTGAAATGGCGACGACTGCCTACTCGTGTCGAAACCATATACTCCCGCACCGAAGGACTTCCGGAGATCCCTACGCCAATCTCAGTTGTGGAGGATATCATAGGGTACAGATTCACGAAGAAACACTTCATTGTCGAAGCTCTTACCCATCCCAGTTACCACACGGACCTTGGGTGTCGATCCTATGATCGCATGGAGTTCTTGGGAGATGCTGTGCTGGACATGGTGGTCACCGACTTCTTGTACCACGCCCCGGGCAAGGAGTACAAGCCCGGTCACATCCACTTGCGAAAGACTGCGATTGTCAACTCTCACATACTGGCCTTCGTTTGCCTGCGTTCGTCGCGTGATGTTGACGCACAAATGCCCAGGGTAGGCAAGCACGGTGCTGTGACTCTTGACGCGGACGAACAACACATATACCTCTGGCAATGCCTACTGCACTCCAGTATGCGTGTTCTGGAAGACCTCGATATCACCTTCGGGCGCTTTCAGAAGAATAGAGCGGAGATCGAGGAAGCTCTGGAGACAGGCAGTGTGTATCCCTGGGCCGCTCTCACGCGTCTGCAGGCTGCAAAGTTCTTCAGTGATATCATCGAAAGTGTTCTGGGAGCTGTGTTTTTAGACTCGCGTGGAGATTTCGACGTCGTTCGCCAAGTGCTAGAACGGCTAGGCCTGCTCCCCATTCTGCGTCGCATCGTTGAGGCAGACATGGACGTCATGCACCCGGTGTCTAGACTGGCCAACTGGGCTGCAAAGAGACAAATCGCGATCGAGTACAAGTTCGTGAAGGAGAAGGGGTCTGTCACCTGCGTCGTGGAAGCGGACCAGAAGGAGGTCGCTAGAGTCACCGAGAATCACCGCGGACGCGCCAGCCAAGATGAAGTGAAGTTTACTGCAGCAGAGAAGGCTATCAGGGCCCTACAATTGCAGGAGGAAGAGGAGGCTCGCATTGACGAAGAGGAAGAAGAGGACATGGATGAGAACGACCCCTGGTGGGCCACAGCGGACACTTTCCCTCTCTAACAATGCTCGGAATGCTTTGAAACACGCAACAACTAAATGCCCAATTTCTTGGATTATGGTTTACATACACGGACTATGGATGGATTACGCTTTGACCTGTATTCTACATCGACTCGATGCTTGCATGCTGTTGTACATTGCTATACTCGTTGCTCAACCCTGCGTCCGCTGCCACCGCATACGAATTGAATGAATCAATGTTCTGTCTCTTCCCAGGCCCTGCCAACAGTCTTCGCCAAATCCGCCTCCGTGATATGCTTGCTGCTGGAGAAGTAGCCAGCCGCGATCTTCGCGTCAATCTCGACCCGCGAATCGGGAGGGATGAGGTGCTCGGGTATATCGTAGCGTTTCAGAATGGGAATGCCAGATTGTACAATGGCGTTGTATTTCCTGCGAGACACATACGAATCAGTTTGACTAGCTAATCACGGTCAGTACATATGTCACGCACATGTCACTCATGGAGACCATGTTATGGATCTTCTTAATCCCGAGCCAGTGCAGAACATCGGGCATGAGCGCCTGGAATCGCATATCCTTGACACCAGCGATCATCTCAGTCGACTTGAAGTACTTGTCGGCGGAGTCACCGCCACGCTTGCGCAAGTTATACACTAGATACCTATTGACATCGCGCGTGCTTAGGGTGGTTAAATTGAACAAATAGACTTGACGCACTTAGTAACCTCGCCGAGCGCACGGCCTTCCTTGCGGAAGTAAACTACCACACCGACGCCTCCGCGCTGGGCGCACCGCACACATTCTTCGATGGCGTAGATCAGGTATGGCTTACAGGTACAGATGTCGGAGCCGAAGACGTCAGAACCGTTACATTCATCGTGGACACGCAGGGTGAGCTCCTTCGACTCGTCGGTCAAGTAAGCGGGCGGACCAACTGCGAAGACCATCTTCTAGTCGAGACTCGATTGTAGAAAACCAGTTAACTTACAGATGTACACAGTCAGCCCTCCGATGGGCGGCAAAAACACCTTGATGTCAGGCCGCGTCACGAGCTCGGGGTACATTCCCCCGGTATCCTCAAACAGAGCCCGACGGAGCAAGCTCTCCGAACTGTAATATACCCATGTTCAGCGCGATGCAGCATTCATGGAAACAGAAACCTACATCCCAAACCGGTCCGCCACGCCAGGCAAATACCACACCGGCTCCACCGCCGCCTTGCTCACGTTGATCTCCACGCCGGGGTCCGCGTCGCTCTCGCTCCCGTCCGCGTTCCTTAGCGGCCGGCTCTTCAGCAGGATCTTCCCGTCAATCTCCAGCTCGCCCTTGCGCGTGGTCTCGTCGACCTCGCTGAGCTTCATGTGCGCACGCGTGACCGCGATGCTCGGCTTGACATCCAGGCCCAGCTCCTCCAACTCGTGCTTGAACACCTGCGGCACGAGGTGTCCCCACGGGTCGAAGGAGACGATCTTGCTCGGGTCGGACCAGGCGGGCTGGGGCGGGATGGGCACGGGCGGCTCCGTCTTGGAGTAGTCAGGCTTGTGCGTGGGGGAGAGGGTGCCCATGGCGATTGCCAGGGCGCGGTAGATGGAGTAGGAGCCTGAGTGGGCGCCGATGGCGTTGCGCTGCTTGATTGAGGAGGGGAGGCGCGAGCAGATGACGGGCCCGCGGACTCTGGGGTCGGATGCGCCCCAATTCATGGTATAGGGCTTGATGCCATATTGATCGGGATAGGCTGGAGAAGAGGTCAGCGACACGATTAAAAAAACAATGGGGTTGGAAGAATTGGTGGGCACACTGAAGGACGCCCCGAAGGCACCGTCATCGGGACATTCGGCCTCCTGCATAGGCGTCCTTGAGGTGCCTTTATTTGATGGACGACATCTCATGCTCATTGATATATGCAGCGTATCACTGGGGCTCAGGGTGCAGGCCAAAGACTAAGGCTTCGCGAACATTTGCAGCTCAGATCCGGAATATGCGAGGAGACTCGTCACTCCCAGGACAAGTGAGACAATGTATATGTATGCCCAGTGACAGACAACCTCAAGACAGGTGAAGTGAACTGCCCAGCGCGAACGCTCACTAATGAACCCCCCAGTGCAGGGGACAAGTCTTGTGAGACGGGCGACAAACTTACTGGTCAAGATGACCCGAGCAGGGTACAGTGCTCTCTCGCGTTCCTTATCGGAGACAGGCTTATCGGCCGCAGGACTCAAGCCCATGCTTGACGCGGAGGTAGACAAAGGCGAGTGCACCGGGACTGGCTGAGACGGCGAAGCGGGGTGCATCGAGGGTGAATCAACACCACGGCCTGGGATCGGCACCCCATTTGTAGGGGCCAGCGGCGGGGACGCTGGAGTAGTCAACGAATCAAGCTAGTCATAAATACTCGTCAATACGAGCGCGAGACAGGCAACGTTCGTGGGTCCGCTTACTTTAGCTTGGAGCGTCTGCTGCGAGGCCTGGAGGGCCTGCAGCTGGCTCAGGATTTGGGTGAGAACGGCGTCCGACACAGCGCTGGAAGACATGGTCCAAGGCTCCGCCGCAAGCAGTTGGAGGGAAAGAGAAAGAAAGAAAGAAAGAGGGGGCTGCGCCGTCCGAGGCTATATACCCCGCACGTACGGCGGCACGCGTTCCAGGCGAGATAATGAGCCACGTGCGCCCGCGCCGAGCATCCGAGAATCCTCTGCCTTTGCGTTTCGCCGCGACGTCTCTGCTCGCATCGAATGCATTGCTCGTCAACTACAACGGTAATGATACAGACTCGGAGCTGCTTTTACTTCGACCAACCGTGCCTCCAGCACCCGTCTATCTATGCATGACCGCGAATCGGCCTGGGTTCGTATCTGCAATTGATAGCTATCAGTGCACAGCGATAGGCAAAACGATACGGGGCACGTACGGCTCTTCCAGGTACTTTATCTCGTCGCCCGACAGCTCGACGCCGCGCACGATCGCCTCGTCCAGGCGCTTCACCGAGCTGCACCCGACGATCGGGCTCGCGACCTTGGTCTGCACCCACGCCAGCGCGATCTGCCCCATCGGCACGCCCTTCTTCTCCGCGAGCTCCTGCACGCGCTTCACGATCACCTCGTCGGAGGCGCGCAGCTTGTTCTCAAACGGCGTGCCCTTCGACGCGTCCGCCCGCGTCGTCGACGTCCCCGGCGGGCGCGCGAGGCTCCCAGCCGCGAGCGGCGCCCAGGGGATGATCCCGATGCCGTGGAAGTTGCAGTACTGGTGCATCTCGCGTTCCTGGCACGCGCCCCCCTCAGCACCGGTCTTCAAGACGCCCCAAGCACCGCACGTACCTCCTCACGGTACAGCAACGAATACTCGTCCTGCATGCTCACAAACTTCGTCCAGCCCCTCTTCTCCGCGACCTCGTTCATCAACGCAAACTGCCAGCAGCGCATCGAGCTCGCGCCGATATACCGCACCTTGCCGCTCTCCACCAGATCGTGCAGCGCTTTCATCGTCTCCTCCACGGGCGTCTTCGCGTCGAAGCGGTGGATCTGCAGCAGGTCGATGTACGGCGTCTGCAGGCGCTCGAGCGACGCGTTGACCGCGTTGAAGATCGCCGCGCGCGACAGGCCGGATTGGTTCACGTACTCCTTGAGCTTGTCCAGCCCCGGCGTGACGGACGTGCGGATCCCGGGCTCCGCGGCGACCAAGCCGAAGCATTTCGTCGCGATGATGAGCTGGTCGCGCGGGATGTTGTACTGGGGTGCGAAGCATGTAAGGTGGCTGGCCGATGGGTAATTCGGGGACCGCGCACCTTTTTGATGAACCGCCCGACGATCCGCTCCGACTCGCCGTTGGAATACACGTTCGCCGTGTCGATGGTCGTCACACCGCGATCCCACGCAGCCTTCAGGAGAGGCATGGCCTGGTCCTCGTTGATAACCCAAGGCTAAGCAATCCCTAAGTCATCCGAGACCACCCTGATTGCAACACACATTCACTCACAGCCCACTTGTCCGATCCGAAACTCATCGCGCCCAGCTATAGGACCATAATTCAGTCGAAGATACATGCTACCTCGCCGAACGGCGTTACTGACAATGGGCACGGACACCTGCAACCCCGACTTGCCCAGCTGGCGGTACTCGACCTTGGTTCCTTCAAAATTCATGTTCACTGGTGCTGGCGGGATCGAGGAGGTGCGGAACGTTGACCCTTGCACTCGCTGGTCCCTCGTCCTATTTAAATATGCACATGTAGCATATACTCTGACAAAGCACTACAAATGACAGGCTCTGAGCTAGCGCCACACAGGGCCTCAGCGCGGTTCCGATGATAAGCCGCACGATTTGCGCAGGAGTCAGGAGGCACCGCACGTGGTAGATAGAACACTCAAAGATGTCGGGATTATATTTGTTCGAGGGTTACGGACGGCAGTCCGGCCTTCCGAGAGATGCACGTAGGGCTCACAGGGAGCAAGCAACGTCTCGTAACTCAAAGATTTCATAGTATAGCAAGTCCAGGAATAACTAGTACAATTCGACGCCCCTCTCTCTATCCGAAGTTAATTCGTAGTCGCATCCGTCCACGGCGTGTTCGCAATCCCGACTTGCGAGTTGGTCGTATCATAGACCGAGTAAAAGCGCTGCAAGAACGCAAACCCGTCGATAAAGTCGAGCCCGCTGCCGCTCGGGCTCCCGAGGTCGCTCGTGACGAGGTAGATCTTGCCCTCCTCGCCGCCGATCGTGCTGTTCAGACTGCGCGGCCAGATCTGCGCGTTCGGCGTCAGCTCAAAGGTCGTGCCGCCGATCGCAAAGTACAGCGACTGCAGCTTGGTGAACTGCGACTCGGTGAGGGTCAGCAGGCCGGTGGACCTGTGGGAAGAAAGTGAAGGAATGAGAGGAGTGCGCGGACATGCATGGGGCGGACTGACTGGTCCATGGTCGCACCGGTGGCCTTTTGGTACGCCTCGAACGCGTCCGTCGCGATCAACAGCAGCGTCGTGCCCGTATCCACGATCCCCGGCGCGCCGCTCAACAGCTTCGCCCCGCTCTTCCCGTACGTCAGATCCTGGTCGATGCCCCAGTACTGCGAAGCCGGGCTCGTGCGCGTGATCGGCACGTACGTGATCTCGCCCGTGTACTTGGACGAGTCGACGCCGCCAAAGGTCATGGTGCCGTTCGCGACGTTCGTGCCCGTCGTCGGCTCGAAGGAGATGCCGATGGACTCGGTGGTGATGCTGCCTTGCGCGTAGAGGTTGTCGGTGACGGTGGGGACGGGGGCATTGCCCGCGACGGTGCCCTCGGTGAGGTCGACGGGGCCGATGCTATCATCGGTGGAGGTCAGCAGTGGAAAGAGAAGGGGAAGGCTAGGGAGACGCACCCAAGAATGCCGTCGACGTCGTTAAAGTCTTGCGTGCTGCTGGCGACGCCGATAGACTGGTTCTGGATGACGAGGTTCGGGGCGAGGGTAACGGTGTCGGTGTCTGCAGCACATGCAACCTGTCAGGTCTCCTGCGACTCGTTAATTGCGGATGGGTGCACGTACATTCGGTACCGGTGAACGACCCGGTGCCGTACGAGACCGTCTGAACACAATGCAGAGCGTGAGCCCATTAGAGTGGATGTATGCGCCCGGTGAAGAGGACATACCACTTTCTTGCCGGTGCTGTGGCTGGAGCTGGTCTTGACGTACTTCTTCTTGGCGCCGAGCCAGGTGTTCGACGATCCCGTATCAATGAGGAGGTCGTACTGCGCCGGGGGCGTCCCGACGCCCACGCTGGTCGAGTACTCCACGGCTATAATTGCATATCGTCAGCACCCTCCCACAGGTCGCCTTGCGGGGCGTCATGCTTGCCTGCGTCGGTCACGTCGATGCTTTTCCCGCTGTTGCTGGCGGCGCCCATGGTCTGCGCGGCCACGTCGGCGTCTTGGTGATGGTGGTGTGCATGGTGGTGCCGGCGGGCCCTGCGCGCCTCGTGGAAGGCGGCGGGGCCGTGGGGGTGGAGCCCCGCGAGGAACTTGTGGGCTCGGGCCTGGTCGCGCGCGAGGATGTCCTTTGCGTGGAGGCCCTTGAGGTGGGCGGTGAAGCGGATGGAGGAGTCGACCACGACGGGGGAGGACATTGTTGGGGAAGGGTGACTTTGTATTCAAGGAAGGGAGGGGGTGTTGGTACTTGTATCCCCGGGGGCTTGAGAATTGCATTGTTATGGCCACATCTCCGGTCAGCACCCGACTCGAAGGTTATGCATATGTCAGGACGATAATACGAAACTGTTGGTAGATCCCTGGGATTACGAGGCTTGCGTCATCTTCCATTCCAGTTTGGACTTGACAAAGCCTTTCGCACCTGGCACTCGGGGCCGCGGGATCCTTTCTTGGCTGCGTGACGAGTTCGACTATTCGAGGTTCTACCCACGAGCTGGATGACGATCGAGCGCCGACGTCAGCGATCGTTTGAGAACGCGCGGGGGAGATAGATGGACGAGCGACAGATCTGGCGACGGCGAAGCGCGCAGGGCAAGTCTGCTTCCGGTTCGGGGTGATAAGGAGGGACATCAGGCGTTGTGGCGCCCATAAGTGGACGTGATTATCGGTGGAGCGGGGGCCGAGTAAGAGGCAACTTGAATGGCCATGGCCTCCTCGTATCTGCTTACCTGCAGCCCAAGCATACATGAATGGAATACCCATTGCCTTTGGCTATTCCGCCGGCAGGAATTCGAAGAGGAGGTCGTGTGCATGTCCGCAGTAGCTCCGCCCCTTTGCGATGGATGCCATGGAGAGGCGGACAAAGAGTGAGAAGTCGCGATCCGAACCATAGGCTAGCTGACGTCTCGGGATATAACGGTGTAGAAGTATCCATGTGCCTTTGCATGGCCCGTTCAGTCACAGTCTGCACTCTTCCCTCACAGTTGTTCAGAAAGTGTGGCTTCCTCGGAGCCGCTCACAGCCCTGACGTCACCCAGAAAGTAAGCACGCGGCCCAAAATGGGATGGCTTGATCGTTTTGGGGAGATCCCATCGGGCGACGAACCACAACGACAGCAGTTGGACTTACTTCGCCCTCCGATCAACACAACCAAACAACACCTAATGCGGTAGGTAAGTCAGGTGACCTCCCGCGCCGCCGGCGCCGCCTGAGGGCTTTCCCGCGTATAGCAGTCCTAAGTAAATAGTGGCTACAAATGAGCTCTAGGGAGGAGAAATAAACTATTCAAAAAAATTTGCTGCTTCTACATCTAAGAGAAATGAGCGTAGTCTGATGGACTCTCGACAATGTTAGACAGAAAAAGATACATAAATATAAAATGCACCACCGCGCCTTGAACTCTCGTCCACAACACAAATGACTAACGCTTTAACCATTAGACTACGAGGGAACAAAGATGCCGCGCTATATAGTAATTATGTACTGCACAGCAAGGCAGATTTACATTAGTGTATTCTCAATTTGGTAGTCGACACCCGAGGCCCGGCTCACGTGATTTACCTGCCTGATATGGGCGTATTTGGTCGTGTTTATCGGAGGGCGAAGTAGCAAAAGCGAACGACAGCCGCCTTCGGACGGACGGACGTGTGCTGCTCTTGCGATAAGGCCTTTCTTCACGCAAAGGACGGGCTCCTGGGCTGCTCGCGTCCGATCTGTATTGCTGGGGCTTGTTTGCGTCGACTTCCATTGCAGAGTCAGGCTGAAGCTCCGTCGCGCCTGGTCTGCTACCACTGAGATGGCCTGCGAGCTATTATTGCAATCGCCAATCTGAGATGATTTTTCTCAAGTATTGCGGCACCATGCCATCTCCCCAGAAATCCATTTCCAGTCACATTTCCTCACCACATCCATACACCCGTGGACAATGCCGGTCGCATGGACGCCCTGCAGTAAGCTTTCAAGGTGGATTTGGTTCCGATGACGCATAGCCTCGCAGCAGCAGGCACACGCCCGTCCCGACCCCGGGCTTCTCTTCTCTTCCCTTCATGCTCCCCGCACCGCTCAGTTCAATTACATCTTCACATCCAGGATGACGCCTACGCTGCATAATCACGTCCCCCGCCCTATATAACACCCCTCCCCTTTCCTCCTCTCCTCTTACCTACTTACCACTCACAGCATGTCCAGCGTCGCCATCCGCACCGTCCCCTTCACCACCCGCCTGCGCGGCCTCCACGCAAAGGAGATCGTCGCCCGCGACAAGGCCCGCGCCCAGAAGTTCCTCGCGGGGCTCCACCCCCACGGCCCCGCCGCCTTCCACGAGGCGCGCCGCCGTAGGAGGGGCCACGGCCACGGCTCCGGCGGCAGCACTGGGGGCTCTGGCACCGGCTCCGGCACCGGCGGAGGCAGCGGGACCGCCCCGTCCTCTGGCGGTAACGATTCTTCCATCGACGTCACTGACGCTGGTAAGTGTATACATGCCTGCGTAGGATCGTGGGTGCTTATCGGGTGTTCTAGGTGTGACCTACACTGCGTCGGTCGGCGTGGGGAGCCCCGCCACCCAGTATACGCTTCTCATCGATACCGGCTCGTCCAACACCTGGGTCGGCGCCGGCGAGAAGTACGTCAAGACCAGCACGAGCCACAGCACCGGCAAGAGTGTCAACGTCAGCTACGGCTCTGGCTCGTTCTCCGGTACTGAATGTGAGCCGAGGTTCTCCTCGCGATGATGGACTCAGCTTACGCCACGTCGCAGACACGGACACTGTCACCCTCGCAGAGGGGCTCGTGATCCAGAATCAGTCTATCGGTGTTGCGAGCACCGCTCAGGGTTTCTCTGACGTGGACGGTATCCTCGGGTTCGTGCATACAGTCGTCCCTAACATTCACGGTCGCATATACTCACATATACACGCGATGTAGCATAGGCCCCGTCGACCTCACCTCGACTACCGTCTCGGGCGAGTCGTCTGTTCCTACCGTCACGGACAACCTCTACGCGCAGGGTACGATCGCCACCGAGTCGATCGGGATCTCGTACGAGCCCACTACCGAGGCCAACGCCGCCAACGGCGAGCTGACCTTCGGCGGCGTCGACTCGTCCAAGTACACGGGCGAGATCACGTACGTGCCCATTACGAGCACGAGCCCCGCGTCGCAGTACTGGGGCATCGACCAGGACGTGACGTACGGACAAAGCGGCACGAGCTTGTTGAGCGGGGCCAGCGGGATTGTGGACACTGGCACGACGCTGTTGTTGATCGCGACGGATGCGTTCCAGGCCTACCAGAAGGCTACTGGTGCTACCTTGGACCAGTGCGTGGTACCATCCTCAGCACGCGCTTGACAGTCCGCTCACTCGTTCGATTTGTTTTGCAGATCCACCGGCCTGTTGACCCTCAGCGAGTCGCAGTTCAACAACCTGCAGTCCCTGTACTTCAACCTCGGCGGGACGACGTTTGAGCTGACGCCGAACGCGCAGATCTGGCCGCGCAACCTGAACAGCACGATCGGCGGCGAGGAGGGCAAGATCTACCTGATCGTGAGCGACCTTGGGAGCATGAGCGGCAGCGGCCTCGACTTTATCGACGGGTTCGGGTTCTTGCAGCGGTTCTACTCGGTTTATGATACGACCAACTCGCAAGTCGGGATCGCGAACACGCCGTGGACGGATGCGACCACGAACTGACTTCGTCAGGGAGTATCCGGGGCCGCTCGGTGGTTGAAGGGGAAGTTGTGATAATGGACTGCTCTCTTGGACGGAAATGGACAGATAACGCGGTGTAGGATATTGTACATGCATTCACGACTTTGTCGACGTAGATGATTAGCATAAATACGGAGTCTTTGTTGTACAGTATATCCAACGTTTTGGTGTACAGCATGTTGTGAATTGTCCGCAGTTAGACTGGGTGAGCTAGTTCTGTCAGGATCGGTGGCGTCGTGGCGGCGGTGCTGGCTGTCGCGTCGGGCGATCGGGGCGCCACTCGATTCCATCGTTGACAATGTGACTGAGAGATCACCGCGGGAGGGTGGCGTGGCGGGCGCTCCGAGGACGAGTTTGAAGATGGGTAACAGTGGCCCTTGCTGTGACGACTGTAAATTCAGTTCCGATTCCATGCCGTTCGTAAGCTCACAGTGAAGTCTGACGTCGGGTAGACTGCATAGGATGTATTTCGTACCCGGGGCGCTGCCAACCAGAGTTGTTGGGTACGCACACTAACCCCAATTGCGGAAATCTGACTCGATAATGTGCTTGGCATTAGCAGACAGTCAACCAATTTATGGCGCTAACCAAGAAGATGGAGTCTAGAGGCAATATGGAATATCGTAAGCACCGTATTATAACGTGAATGATAATAAGTTACGACGTCTACGGAGCCGTTTCCTCCAAGAATACTCGTCAAATGTGTGATCCATCCTCTATTCAAGATCCAATGTCACCTGGTACGTATCCTACAGCGCATCGCCCCGCCCCACGCGAGAAGTGCGTCGGTCTCCCTTCAACTTTAAGCCCCGTGCTAGTATCGATCCTACACCTTCCCAGGCCCAATCATCAGCCTTATCCACGAAGCCGGATCTCGCGGACCCGCGTGCCCGCCGCTCTCCTTCAGCGTATGCGAGATCTTCCACGCGCGCACCATGAACATGCAGGCGCCGGCGGCGACGTACATGACGCCGACGTAGATCTGCGCGGAGAGGTAGCTGGCGGGCCCGCTGCCGTGCCGCAGCTCGAGCCCGATGGGCTCGCTGAAGATGCATGGGGGGACGACGGAGAGCCAGAGGAGGGAGAGCGCGGAGGGGAGGTCGACGAGGCCGACCACTTCGGCGGAAACGGAGCCTGCGCACTAGGAATTGTACAGCCGATTCAGTTATATTCGGCCACGAAAGAAGGTGAGGATCCCTCACCGTCCAGAATGTGCCGCAGACAGCGCCGTTTATGATGGCGAAGAAGACCAAGACGCCGAAAGTCTTTGCCGGAATCCAGATCGCAAACACGGTGAGTGCACAGAACAGGGTGGCTCCGCCTGCCATGTTGATTCTCCCGGTCCAGTCAGACCCTATTCCAACGAGCGGCCGACCAAACGTGATGCCCAGGCTCAGCATAGCACCGACGATAGACCCCTGCTCGCTCGTCATCCCCTGCGCAACCGCATACGCCGGCAAAGAATACAAAAGCACGATGTACCCCAGCATGCTGAACACACCCCAAAGCATGACCAGGATGTACTCCGGCCTCACCAAGATCTTGAGGTCAAACGCCCGCTGGTTCGGGCGGATGTGCTTGTTGCGATCTCGGATGAGGAATGCGGCGGTCGTGTTCACGGCAAAGCAGCAGATTGCTGTAATTCGGAAGGCCCATGGCAGCCCGAGGTTGCGGATGATGGCGTTGGTCCCTAGAGACCAGATGATGCCTCCAATCCCGGAGCCAGCAGTGACTACGCCGTTCGCCATACCCCTCCGGCGGTGAAACCATTGGGACGGGATGCCGAAACAGGCGACGAAGATGAAGCCCATGCCTGTGCCGCAGGCGACACCTTGGCTGAGGAACAATTGCCATATTTCTTTGGTGAAGGACGCTGCAATGAGTCCGCCGACCTGGAGTGCAACGCCGATAAGCATCGTGGTACGGAATGAGTATCGACGGTTGAGATATGTTGCAAGAGGTGCTATGAAGAGTGCCAGGGCAATTGAAAGACCCCCGATAAAAGCGTAGTCCAGGTTGGTAGCGCCAGGGAAGATATCATTGCTCAAGTAATAGGAGAGGTAGATGGAGAAGGACTGAATATAAGTTCGTTACTGGTGTTCGACCTATCGAAAGCGAGTTGGCAACTCACCGCATTCACACCCCAAGTAAAGGCATTCACCCAGAACACACTCGCCACCACGACCCATCCATATCCTCCATCTGGTAAGGGCGCAGGCGCAGAGGAAGTGACAGGGGCCGCTTCTACATCTGAACCTTCTTCCTTCTTCCCTACAGAATCAAGCCCCTCCGGGTTGCCCTCCCTTCTGGCTATCGTTTCTTCGCTGCCTGCCGAGTGTTCCCGCTTGATATCGACTTCATCTCGCGGTAAAGGGCCGGAGGTTTGCTGCTCAACCTCAGCTTCGTCTGCCCGAGCCATGCCAGATCAGTCAATCCGCCGAGGTTAGGGTACAGACGAACGGAAGACACCTTGACAATCACAGGACGTGTGGCTGCTGGAGACGAGCGGTTACATTCCCGATCAAGTGGGTTTTATACCCGCCAAAAATATGAACGGTATACCCATGCGCAGGGAAATGGCAAACGTGATACTTGTTGGAGTCCTCACTGCGCCCAGGTGCCGCCGGCTGGCATTCGCTGAGTTGACGCTGCGGCTGAGTCGTCTATCCATGGCTGCCACCACCTCGTCATGCTGCGGCGGCGGCCAAATTGTCGTGCAAAACTGCCAGAGCATGCTGGACTCTGCCCAACTCAGCTCCCATGCTGACTGAGACTCTTCAGGATATGTGGCGGTCTTTTCTCGGATTTAATCGCCCCCACGGTGTGGTCCGAGGCGCGCACTGTCCCCGACAGAAAATGTCAAGGCATCGCTACAGAATCGCTCTTGTCTACGGTGATCATCTTGCCTTCCGTTAGAGTCCGCCTTCTGCTTTGGATTTGCCGTCACGGGCGTTGATCTCGCTGCACGAGACGTCCTTGTCTAAGGAAACTGGATGATAGATTGCAGGCTGAGAACGGGCCCACAGTTGCCTCCCGATATGGGTTTCTCATCCATATACTCTGCTGAGGTTCAGAGTTGGTGCGGATCTGCTAGTCTCACTTCATGTCGATGCTGCCATGGGTATACACAGCTGAGCCTAAACCAAGTTCTGACACTGACGCCGATACCTTGCTGCCTGGCATGACTGCTCCAGAATCGTTCTGTTATGTTTGGTCTCCCCACGGCAGCAGGAATCACAGACGAGACCAAGGCGCCATTATTATCCATCATCTGTCTGTGTTAAAGAGACATCACACCGCTACATTCGCCGCACTCCTCGATCATGATCATGTCCATCATCATAGGCCCTAGTCCGTGACCCGACCCCCACTCGGATTCAGTATACATACGGTAGTAAGCGGTAAGGTACTCTGCTCGCCCAGTCCTCCCATGTCCTTCCAAACTGAGCTCGCAGCATCTCGTCCTCCGTCCGAGTTCTGTACAAAAGCAGGCATGCTAGAAAAGATGCATTGCTTCCCCAAATCCCTGCGCATATCCGTCCGAACCAGGTGCTCGTAACGCCGTACTCCGTCATCCACGATCCCCGGCCGAAATGAACAAACGTCCCTGCCAGGGCAAAAAATGTTGCGGTATAGCTGGGATGTCGGACGAACGCGTATGGGCCAGAGGTGACCAGCTGGTGGTCGTCCCGGATACTGAGCTCGAACGTGAACTGACGCCCCATTGTGCGGTAGCACCAAAGCCTGCCCAGGCCGCCTACAACCGTACATGCCCATCCTACAAGGAAGGTAGGCGTCATCGCGATACGATCCAAGGACAACGTGCCAGTCGGCATCAAGTTATACAATATCCAGCGTGCTGTCGCTGATGACGGATACTGCGAGGCAAGTATCACGGCGGCTTCGGATAGGCATGCCGCCCAAAATGACATCTTGAGTGCAACAAATCCTTCAGTCTCCTGGAATCGTCTGACCACATGTGGTACTCATGAACTTGCCTTGTAGGCTATAGGAACAACCTGCATGACCGCCCTCCCCCACCCACGTTCGGACATAGCTCTTTGCCTCTCCTTCGAGGATGGCACCGGATTCGGAGACGTGGCAGCCACATGGAAGGCGAGTGCTGCACTCGCGAGAAAGGGTATCTTCCAAACGTTTGTGGTTCCGAACATCTTCGAAGATCCGGAAGCTCCTGTAGGTGGGTACAGAACCAAGGCTGGTAGAGGGATGGGTGACGAATCGGCCTGCGAGTCGCCTTGCGTATATATCTGTGGCAATTAAAACTCATTATTATGTCCTCACAACGTACGCGACGCTAGAAGCTCTAGGCAGTTAGAAGATGCTATTGAAACGTGGTGATCGCGTAGATAACTTCGCCTCGACCAGCCAATCGCCCAAATCGGTGCTGGACTATGGCTCCAGCTTGCCGCCTTCAGGACCAAGATCGTACCGCACTTTGTCGATTTAAGGGCAAACTCAGGACTGAGAACGGCTAATCGTAAAATCACCATGATGGCAGGCTTGAGGCGTGTCAAGGCTCGTGGCTGGCAGCGCATATTCAACTTCATGCCATTGTCTCTATATATGCCGTGTTTATTCCGTCCTCAGTGAAAATGTTTGTACAAACGCATGCGCGTTTGATCACGCCGCGAGAAGCAACGTTAACGTCAGGCAGTTCTCTTGCCATGATACTCTGTAAAGATCTGTATGGTGGCAACGGTAACCCATACTTAACGGGCCTCGGGAATCCGTTGTGTTGCTAAATCTTGTCACAGCTAACGGGGGCTTCGTTGCCTCAGAAAATCCCAGTCATGGCCACTTTGGGTCTTCGGGATGGCCTCCGGCGGTCCACAGTTACTTGTGTATGTAGATGCATGTGCTCTGTGGCATCCGTTGCTTTTGAAGTTAGCAACGGAGAACGTAACGGTTTCCGGGACGTTGCCACCAATACAAATTTTCAGTACTACTCAATGAATTACCCTCAACAAACGTATGGATAATGTCCATAACCTGAAAGCCTGCTGAGCGCAAACCTTTACAGAGCTCCCGAATAAAGAATTCGTTCCCAGATCTAGAGCAACCGCTGCTTGGAGGGAGACCAGAACGAAGAGCTAGCGTCGGCGACTGCATGGCAGCGGTGACCGCATAGCAGAGAACACGACTCGGACTACAAGACGACCGGTTACTTGATAAATTGCAAATTGACCGCAGATAATGACGTGAACTAGTCTCGCCATGCCGCTCTCAGCCGATCGTAAGTGGCAGGAGGCTGAGACAGGCTGAGACGCCCCCAAGTCTGATACCGATAACCTGGGATCGCTGACTGGAAGTCGAAGCAATCAGTTTGACCGGGATAGATGTTGTATACAATGTCCATGGAACATGACCACAAAGACTAGCGATATACACTGGCACACAACTGGTGAATTAGACATGGACCTCACTCGATCATGCAGACCTGCCTGCCGCATAGTGCCTCCCTAAATCTACAAGGTAAAGTGGTCGACTCGTAAGCACAGGATCCACTTTCGTGACTGTCGAAGGTAGCATGATGGATCATCTAGCGTTTAGCTCGTGCAGACAGGCCGCCCTAGCAGGGAGTGCACGAGGGATAGGCTTGATACTGCGCCTCCTAAATAAGACTTAGTAGACGAGCAACTGTCTTAAATGGATGAGGGAGAAGGTATTCATCAATATAATTTGCCTATCTCACCTCAGTAGATAAAGGGTATCAATCTATACGGGACTCTCCTCGCCCATGCGTCCCATTGCTCCCCGAACTGGTTCTTTAACAGGACATCTTCCAACCTGGTCCGGTAGATCATGAATCCGGAAACGATGAACCCCACAGCGATGACGGTGCCCAGAAGTGTTTGCCCCATTACCGTGTCCAGCCATCCGCACTCCCTCAACCAAGAACCCGGGCCGAACATGCATAGGTTCACCCCGCTGTAAACCAGCCAACCTGCGGTATACGCCGGATGTCGTACGAGGGAATATGGTCCGCTCGTGACCAATTGATGCTCTTTCCGGATGCTCACTTGGTACGTGAATAGCCTTCCAAGTGTGCGATAACACTCTACCCGTAAGATAGTACCGGCTGTCGCAAGGAAGAGGCCGGCCAAGAAATGCGGAGTGACCTGCACCGCTGAGATGTGGGACGATGGTCTGACTACCAAGGAGGACAGTAACCGTTCTGTTAGCGGTGGACGCGGGAACTGGCTAGCCAAGATTACGGCTGTCTCGGAAAGACCGAGGGCCCAATACGAGTACTGTCGAACAATTAAAAAAAGGTGATTAGACAGAACCAGCTCAAATTGTGTATACTCACCTTCATAAAGGTAGGCCAATACAGCACAATGTTTCCCTTCGGGGTGATGGAAGGCTCGGGAACAGTTTCATCTTTCGGTACGGGAGGGTTGGGATTAGTCAGAGAGACGTGTAACCCTGCTATAGTGCCCAAGAGCAAAGGTATCCTGTAGATAGACATATCCTCGTGGATGTGGTTGGAGGCAATTCGTGCCGGTGGCTTTTATATGTCTCGGAATGCATGTTCCTCGCGATCATGACTTCTCGAGAATGCTCACATGCTGTGGCACATCAGTCTCACGTCATGGGATTGAAGTGCTATCCTTCTCTCGCAACGTCGACAGCACCGGGCCGTCGCGGTCTATATCACTTTGTTGTCGCGAATCCATAAATACGGCATTTTTCAGCACACCTGACAGCAGAAGGAACACTTCGCTGAGAACTCACCGACGCGAAGGGAATAAGAAGCATCCGAGTCCCTTCTAAGGTTCGTGTCATTAAGTAAATCCTATCTGGGATTGGCAAGTCGAGGACGAGAACTTACGAGTCACTATTCTCGCATATTCCGTGCCGAGTGAGAATACTGAATGCCGCGATAGCTTAATTTGCAGCAGCCAACCTGCGGACACCAGTGAATGCGCGAACTCCGCGATACGGGGTCTTCGCAAGAACCGTGATTCCCGATAACAAATGAGCGTGATTCCACGCACGTAGTTAAGGAAGATTGGGAACGTGCATAAGCATACATATACGGCATATAAACATATCTCGTCCAGTATTGCGTCGACTCTGTATGCGGTACCTGAACCTAGTCGGCAACTATAACGGCTGCGTTCAAGGCGCAGGACCGCACTTAAATCCCTGACAGAATTATATCAGACTCTCAACATTCAGGAACAAGGCCTTACCTGTGCGATTTAATAAATGAAAGGCAGCAGCCTGTATTTTGCATTGCTCGCCCACTTATCCCAGCTCTCCCCAAATTCCTGTCTAAGGATCCGATCCTCCACTCCGGAGCGGTGAACAGAGAATGCTACAAGCGCTCCGACAGTGCCAGCCATAGCACCCAAAATGACCTTGCCCAGGGCCGTATCCAAAATACCACATTCTTTCATCCAGGACCCCGGTCCTGAGAGGCATATAACGGCACCTACGGTGCCAATGACACCGCCAATGTATCCTGGGTGTCGAACCACTGAGTACGGACCCGATGTCACCAATTGATGGGAATCTCTGATGCTCAATTGATAGGTGAAAAGACGCCCCAGATGTCGGTAGCACTGGTAGCGGACATAACCACCAAATGCTGCTAAAAGGCTACCTGAAATGGCAGCAGGCGTGGCAGATATGTCGACAATCCTTGACCTGGGTCCGACTAGTAAGGCGGCAAGGATATTTCCCGAGATCGGTGACGAAGGAAAGTGGTTGCTTATGATGACGGCTCCTTCACAGAGAGTCCCAATCCATACAGCAGTCTACAACACGCGTAAGCAAATGGGCGCACTACGCATTGGAGAACGCAGCTACCTTCAGCATCCTCGGCCACCATAAAACGAATTGGCTTGGGCGGCGGCGTTGCGTCACCGAGTACTTCTGCGTTTCATCCAGGGATACGGGCGGATTGGGATTTGTCATAGATATATGCACCCCAGCAGCCGTGACGAACAGCAACGGTAACCTGAGTAAGGACATTCTATCGCACAAAAACAAGCAAACTCACCGGATGCCTTTGCCTCGCCTTTTCATATACCGACAGGAGCTCGGGCATAGCCAAAAATACAGACAGCATGATAGCCTTCTTCGAGGGTGCAAAGCTTGCGGGTGGCAGTGGGAGTTTACTGTCTAACAGAGTAAAAACCCGGTATTCTTAGAAACTGTGGGTCTGCATAGAGAGTAATACGGTGACTCGGCTTGGAGCTAACGATATGCCCACTGGAGAGGAAAAAATCATACCGTCAGGCAAGACCCGCGGGGTGGATAGGTGCACGGGCTTGAGCACTCGTTAGTCTCGGTTTTATGGCGATCCACAAAGCAGTGTGCGGAAGCCTGAGGTGCCACCTGAAGGCAATCAAGCCGAGACTCTCATGCGCTTTCAACGTACCTTGTTACTCTGACATCTCAGCTGGTAAACTATCAGCTGATTGGTGAATGCTCATGACTCACCTGGGTGTAAGGTTGCACTGGCAGTTCCATAATCTTTTCGCCTTTACCTTCGTTCCTTGCCTTCCCACTGGCGAGGCTATGAGCATATGTACGTCGAACTTGAAGCCAGATCTGTACTGAAGGAGTCCCACATACACTGTGGAGCCCGGACACGGGTAAATTCACTATGTGAGCGGTTGAAATTTGTGATTCACCCAGTGTATGGGTTACAAATGGGTAGTGGTGATCCGACGGGGGAAATTCGCCGGCGCACAATTACCATGTCTTTGGGTGATTTTCGCTGGCATTGAATGAAGGCTCAGACGGGCAGCATGTACATAGTGAAAATCACCTCGAAAATCACCCGGTCCTGATTCACCCAATACAATCACCAAGTTAATAGATAATATTCACTCCTATTCGTCTCCGACATATATAGCGCGTGCAAGTGTACCACTACGATCTACAATTGCCCACCTGTTCCCTTCCGGAACGCGTCCGACCACGCATTGTATGCATGTTATGTCGACAATGTTGAGACGGCCGAATCGCGAATAATAGTAGATATCGAGGTCGAGATTGCTTTCTTCGACAACGCATGTCTTGATGGCTGCGAGAATGATTGTCGTCGGAGCTTCGAGCCCAAGCGGTTCACTTCGAGCAAGTCGGATAACAAATATGTGTTGCAGCTCCCCGAAGAACGTCTGCAGCTCAAACACCGGCTGCCTTCGGCGTTGTCGAGCATACTTATCGACAAGAACTTCATACTGCACTAATATCAGCAAAGCGGGGCAACCAAATTGACGAAATCTTACCCTAACAAATGACATATCACGGCTATCAGCAGTCCGCTTTACTAGAGAACTCGCATGCATCGTATCACCGCCGTCCAGCCGCTTCACCTTCCCCCATCGCTCGATTTCAGCTGGGACAAGGCTACGTAGAACGGCCGAGGACTTCCCGAACCGAGTGGCAAGGGCTCCTATGATTTTATCATAAAGCCCCGAGTCTAGGCGCTTCTGCGTTCGTGGATATAACAGTGTGCACGTTGGATCTGCAAGATTTCCGTCTTAACATACCCCTTACAATAAGCAAGATGAGACTCACATAACGGGTCAGAGAAGTGACCTGTAGCTATACCCTGCGGCTTGAGTGAAAGCTCTGTGCTCATATTGTACACAAGTTTGATCTGTGTAAGACGAGCAGTATTCACGACGAATCGATCTATGCTTGCCCAGGGAAAGCGCCGACTCTTTATCGCAGGCTGAAGCCGTCCGCAATAACGTTCCATCGGGAAGGCCCACGATGCCCAAACTGGTCCAGCGAGCTCAATGCTGTCCGCAATGTGCAGCAGTGCATGGACAGTTACCGTGCAGGTAGGCAGACGTTCTGGTGAATACTGATAATACATCCTATAGAAGATGCAGAGTTAGCCGTTGCGCGAGATAAGGGAGTGTGGAGACATACTCCTCGTATTTCTCTACCCAACGGATGAAGCCTTGTCGTATTGTCTTGATGTCTTCAGATCTGTATTCAAACTGTAGACAGAGACGGAGAATCTTCACAAGCTCAATAAAATGAGTATAGTACTTCTGCTCCCTGAACTTTCGTCGCAAGAGAACTGGAGCAACATAAAGCGTCCAGAGAGACCAAGCTTCTGCCGTGAAGGGTGACTTATCCACAGCAGGGTTCCCGAGACTTGGTCCAAATGTATGGGGTATTGTGGACGAAGATCGAGACGTAACTTCCCCGATTGCATCCCAGACGGATGCGTTGAATTCATAGCTTCCCCGAGCTTCGTCTAGACCCTTGAAGTCACCTGTCCAGAGGAGAATAAGATTGGGTATGAGATTCTCCCATATCAAATGCATGAAATCATATGGGAATGAATGCGGAAATGATAGCGACGAGAGATAACTTATCACGGGCACCCCTTTGATCCCGTATTCCTTTGCCAGGGCTTCTGACTCGATGTTACTCCGGGCGAATTGCACTTCGCGGGCCTGTGCAAGCATCTCGTCATGTTCTCGCATTGGTAAAGCGTGAGGGTTGTATTTGTGTATCGCAGTATTGGAGTGTTGGATAGCTGGATGGCACGACCGATCAAGGGGGACATAGTGAGTTGTAGCTCGTGATCCATGCACACGAAGCCCCCGTATCTTGCACATTCGACAAGGGGACAGAGCATTGTGGCCTTTCATGCGGAGGAGCAAGGACATGGCCGGTATATCACCGAACGCCAGGATAAGGTAAGCCCGTAGAGCAAAGGTATCACCCGAGGAGGCATCGTATGCCCGGACACCCACTTCGAGTCTCAGGAGCTCTTCCATCGCCGGCCACAGGAAGGAGTCATAGTCAATGGGTTTCTTCGGACCGGGAATGATTCCGAGGACAAGTATGTTCTCAATGTGAAATCGGATCTCGGGGGGTAAGTTGTAGTTGAATAGGATGATAGGCCATGCAGTAAGTTTCCTACGACGCCAAGGCGCAAACCCATCAGTCGACAGTCCCAGGGCAATATCGCGAGGATCAGCAAAGAATGTATAGGGTATTTCCTTGCCGTCAACTTTGACCCGTGTTCCGAGAAGACGCCTGTAGACCCAAGCATCAAATACATCCCTTATCATCCCTGGCTCTGTTTTGTGTTCGTAGGCACGGTACATCATCTTCTCGGCAGTCCCCTTATTGCTGTACAAGGCGACGAGACGCGGAATCAGAGGTAAATACATGAACTTCTTCCGGGGCTGGCCATCTGAGTCATAGCGAGGTGAATGGCAATACGGACAAGCCGTCAGAGAGGCATGCGGGCCAGTAAAACAGCAGCATGATTCCGCGCAGCAATCATATGCCATCGGCTTGATTCCTGATAAGAATGCAACCCGCGAAAGCATCTCTTCTGCGCTGGGCAGGTTTTCGGTCGGGAATGCATAGGGGATCTTTGCGAAGTTACGTTTACCGAGGCGCGAGTCCGTGTAGAATGCGAACGCGCGTAGGATGGCTTTGTCTGACGGTGTAAGCTTCTCAGCTGGTCAAAGCGTTAGCAATTATCTCACGTGTGATGGAAGCTTCACGTACCTCCCAACTTTGCAGCCTCCTCGAGAAACCTGTGATTGAGCTGATCCCAAGCCGACAACTCTGGATCAAACTCGTCAGGCGCGTCCAATTCATCGTCATCAACGTCTTCAATGTCTGGTTCGTCCTCGAGGCCTGAAGATATTCCCTGTTCAGTAGACATACTGTCGTCATCATCCTCCACCTCTTCCATGGTTACCGAATACCGAGAGTGTGTCCAGATGTTTCGCTGAGCTGCTTGTTCTACTTGTGTAAGATCAACATCGGGAACACCTCCTGCTGCATTGCACGCATCCTCATCCACATCCGTGCTCACAGACGGTGATCCAGGAGATGTGAAGTCATCGGGCATTTGTCGCGGGGAGGGCATGTCGTCATGGTTTTGACTGGCATCAGGGGTGCTGGACGGCCCGGGTCCCTGTCGCCATGCAGACTGTACAGATCGTCCTTGCCGCTGACTCCCGCGTGAGTACCAGAGGAAGCTCTTCTCGTATGCAGCCTTTGCCTTGATATGCGGGCGAGTAGCGAGAGCCCGGTGCCTCCGCTCAGTACGCTCCGGCAGCCAATCCCCGCAGCACCCGCAGAGAACCTTTCGGGACTTGGAAGCGCCAGATTGATGTCGTGCCATGCAGGATATCTTCAGGAGATTGAGCTCAGCATTATGGAGATAAAGTTAAAAGTGGTGCACACCTGATACTGCGCAATGCAAACTTTCCCAGCTGTCTCTCCAAGGTGTCTCGTTTATCACACAAATATATGGGACAGATCTCCAGCAAAGAAATTTTATACAAGGAAGGTAGCGAGTAGTTTACAAGGATGTGTGTTGTAAAAAGGTTGAGACTCGTGCCACAAGCGCGCGACGCGACGCGTCTGCGTCTGTGTACGTGGGAATTAGGCAAACAAATGATATCACTCACCGCACTCGATATCTCTAAGTCCGAATTGTCCCGCAGCATCGACAGCTGCACTTTTCTTACCCTCACCTCGTGCAGAGCTCTGTCTGCCAGACATCGCTGCAATACCCTGCAAGTGAAAGTTACCCCCCGCGACACTTCAACAAACATCCACAATGGCTAACGGAAGGAGGGGATCCCATGGAAAGGCTAAGTCATCCGCGCCAGCAAACAGTACCCAGCAAGACGCACGCGAGACTTCGAATCCTGCGGAGCACGACGAGCGTCGAGAGCGCAGCGTACCCCCACTAACTGCTCCGACGAGCCAACCGCGACATGATGCAAATCTGACAGCGCCGCGTTACGCGACACTGGCTGAGACGAATCTCTTGAGTGAGATAAATCGATTGAAAGGTATGAAAATAAATCAACGCACCATAGCTGTTGTCTGCTGACCGCGCTACAGAACAACTCGAGGCAGAGAAGCGCGCCCGCGAAGCTGCCGAAAAACGAGCAAGCGAAACAGCTGCGGCAGCTGGTAGGCGCGCAAGTAATGCCTCGCACGAGCCCGTCCTGAAGCCTAAAGGCTCGGCTGGGCAAGGGATTTGCTTGATAGAAGTCATGGGCCTGCAAGACGACGTGGAACAGTACAACACGATTCTGGTGCGGAGTTCTGTCCTATATACTCACCGTTTTATGTAACATCCTGATAGCTTCTGTGAACATCAAGCGTGACGTACGAGACCTTGTTCACTCGGCACAACTGGATTGGACGGTGGACTATCGTGAACAGCCAATGGCAGATTTAGGAAATCTCTTTGCGGTGGTGAGAAGTTTCCCATCATTCCCGTAGAAAATATTTCACACCCATGTCCACAGGCTCGTCAGAGACACCCAATCCTTGCAAGGTTCAAGAATGACTGGGTGACCTCTGAAATCGTCAAGCAATTCATGCGGAATCGACGCAAGTTTGCATATCGGAAGGGCGTACTTCACCCGACGACCAAGCACAACCGCGTCCGCTCATCACGAAACACCGGCGCCAGTTCGGGTACGGATACGAACTCCGGGCTTTCGAATCAGAACCGCCGAGTCATTGGCCACGTCGAACCGGCGCAGGACGATGGAGACGTGCACGCTGCGGCTCCTGCAGCTGCAGAAAAGACAAGGCCCCGTCCACGGAAGAGGCGCAGGGTGCATGATACGGAGGAGGCACCGGAGCAGGGTCGGGATGCGGAACAATAAGTAGATCATGATATCGCTGTGGTAATACAAGAATATATCAGTTACTCTGCTGTATTCACTATTGCTGAGTGTCGAGCGTCGTCGCAGAATGAAGCATGGTCAGTTTCATATAGTTAGGGAGTATCACCCGGGGTATTGGTGAAATCCACCTAAGTCTCATCCTGAGGTATAGGTGAAATTCACCGCTGAATGTGTTGAAATCCGTCAAATCAAAAGTAACCCTGCGTATGGGTTCAATTCACCCTGGGCAAGCTGTGACGACGCCATGGTGAAACCGGCCATATAAGTGTGTAATATAACCCAGTAAATTCACCCAATAATAGGGTAAATATCACTGGAGTCTGGTGAACTTCACCCGATATCTTGGTGATTATAATTAGTATACTGGGTGAATTACATGGTGCTTTTAACCCCTTCAACGTTCCACAGTGATATCGGAAGTCTTGCCTGAGTGTTCGGGGCACATAAGCAGTCGACAATGCAGATGCAAATGACTCGGAATATGCTCAAGCTGATGAAGCAAGCCCTACAGTACTTCCTACCACAGTAAAGCAGCTGGATCCCTTGAAGCCACTATCAAGCCACTATAGCTATTGACCGCAAGAATCAATCCGAATATTAATACTGTAAGGGTCGGCTGTTTCCGAGGTACCTAAGTTGTCCACAGAGAAATGGACACGAGTCGACTGGCAGCCAGTGGCCCGGGTAGCCGCAGTGGAAACGCAGCGTAAGTATTGATTAATTACACGTGGGTAAGCTTGTGTCACGGTCGAGGAGACATACTGGAGACACCTGTCAGCGCGCCGCTTAGGACTACGCGATCGCGTTCGATGACCAGACGCCTTCCACCTTGAACCCCACTGTCTAATGGGCATGGCATGGTAAAGTTGCACTCCACCGGGAAAGGCGGAGCATGAACCGGAACGGCTGACGTTGGCGTTTCCTGCGCCCCCGACCCTGCGTTCAACTTCATGTTATTGTTGGAGATGTCCTTGAGCAACACAGACACCGAAGATCGCCTCCAGCTCCACTACTTTAAGGCCGGAGAAGAACCCGTGGCACAAGCAGTCTGGGAGTACAGCGCGACCGCCGCTCAAGCATTCAAGCATCCGATGTTGATGGACAGGAAATCGAAGTAATGGTTAGTCCTTCCGAAGTGACCCACCAATTTACTGCAATCTCCAAGGAATTACTCGAGAATACTAGTGAGTACTACATGCCGGAAAACAAACCAATTCTGACAGGCTGGCTTCAGCGTGAAGCTTGAGCTCAGGACGCGCTTATATTAGTGAATGTCGAAATGAGAAAGTAGGTTTTTCGATAATAAATCCACGCCTGTAGGATTTCGGAGTTCGCTATCGAGCTTGCGAGCTCGCGCCGCGTTACGCGTGATCGGGGAGACCGCCGCAGGCGGGCCCGACTGATGAGGTGATAAGAGAATCGTATATATTCGTTGTATCTACTCGATGTACCATACGCGATTGCCCTTGCAAGCAAACGCGCTCGTTCTATGTTTGCTTCAACAACGTCCTCATTCTCCGATTAATCATTTACATAATTGATACATAGTCTTGAATCGTTTGACGCGTCCAATCACGTGCTGTAACTTATCTTGTTCGCCCTCGCCCAATTTAGTATGTAGGTACGCACGATGTACCATTCTCATCCCCAAGCACGCCATTCGATTGGCCCTCGATACACGATCAAGAAACTGCCATAACCTCGATAGCCACTTCACTGCTCCAGAAGGAGCGCTATAAAAGTTCCTATATGGACCTCTCTGGCGCTTCTTCTGGACTGCTGTGTGACCACCATGGCCGGCCGCGAAAAATCACCCGAGCAGGACTATGACCTCGAACGCCCAGGAAAGAAGGCGTACTACGAGCCACAGATTGCTGTACAGACGCAAGACGTGTACTCGGATGACGCGCTGGACCCAGTTTATCGAGCGAAAGCTAAGATACTGAACGATGCGCTACAAGAGATTGGCATGGGCAAGTACCAGGTATGTTTCCTTTTCTAGTCTCCAGTGTCTCTCAGATATAGAGGAGCGGAATTAGTGGTACTTGTTCTGCGTAGCTGGATTTGGATGGTTCTCGTAAGTGCACACCATCAGGACTCGCCCTTGATTGCATCTTATCATTCTGGATGCGTTACACAGCGACAATTTATGGCCGGTAGGTTTATCATTATTTGAGGTTTGAATTGTGACTGACAGCTCTGTGCAAGATTGTGACCGGCTTAATTCTGACGCCCGTGGTGAACGAGTTCAACTTTGAAGGACCCTGGCTTAAGTTAGGCCAAAACATTGGTCTCCTGGTTGGTGCTGCCTTCTGGGGTCTCGCGTCTGATGTCTGGGGACGAAGGTATAGCTGTTGAGTATGTGACCGAGAGTCAAATCTAACCAGCACCAAGATGGTGCTTCAATATCACGCTGTTCATTACTGGCGTCTTCGCCACCGCAGCCGGTGGATCAGCCAACTACATTGCTCTGTGCTCACTAGCCGCAGTCTGGAGTGTCGGAGTTGGTGGGAACTTGCCTGTTGATTCCGCGGTATTCCTAGGCGGGTACCATCAGTCTCGCGCAGTCACATCGTGGCACTTACCCAGTGTACGTTAGAGTTCATACCGGCTTCCCACCAGTACCTCCTCACTGTCCTTTCCGTCTGGTGGGCATTTGGTCAATTAGTCGGCAGTCTCGTGAGTCCAGATTGTCACTCGTAGATGTTATCATGGTGCTCAGCTTTCACCTTAGATCGCCTGGCCTCTGATCGCGAACTACTCCTGTCCAACCACTACTCCGCCTTCACCGTGTCCGCGGTCGTCGAATGAGGGATGGCGTTACTTTCTTTACACAATGGGCGGGCTGATGCTCGTCCTCTTTATTATCCGCTTCTTCGTCTTCCATCTCTACGAGTCCCCGAAGTACCTCATGGGGCGCGGAAGAGACAAAGAGGCGGTGGAGGTTGTGTGGAAAGTCGCGGAGTACAACGGTATGAAAAGTAGCTTGACGCTCGAGCAGATGCAGAAAGCAGGAGAGCTCCGAGTCAGCGACAAGGATGAGGAGATGGACACCAGTGCACGAGCGGCGATTCTCAGGAAGCTGAGGATGTTCCGCTGGGAGCACGTTAACGCGCTGTTCGCGACTAGGAAATTGGCCTGGTCTACAAGTCTGCTTATCATTCTGTGGGGTATGTCTGGTTCTCCTTGCGTGGTCTCCAACTTATTTGCCAACGTTTCCCAGCCCTTATCGGTCTCGCCTTCCCTCTGTGAGTGGTTGTCATTGCATAGCCATCTTAACGGACGTCCTCATGTTTCTTGCAGCTATAACAGCTTTGTGACCTACTTGTGAGTGTCGTAATGTCGATTGGGAGCCTTCCTCACCGTCAAAACAGCCTGGCTACCCGCGGCGCCGACTTCGGCGATGGTTCGACCTACATCACCTATCGTAACGTGAGCATTCCGATCGCCATGGTCTTTGGACAGTCTTGGTAGATCTCTCATCTCATCTACAGCAAGTCATCTTGAGCGTCATCGGCGTTCCGGGTGCTATAATCGCAGGTTGGATGGTTGATATACCATGGCTTGGTCGTCGCGGGACTCTTTCAATCTCAACGAGTACGTTGATAGTGTCCTGTCTCGCAGGCTTTGCAGCTCACGGACTATTGCAGTCCTAACCGGAGTGTTCCTCTTCGCATCCACGACCGCACGGACCTCCGACGCCCTCCTCGGGTGGAATTGTGGATACAGTTTCACTTCCAACATCATGTATGGTGTGCTGTACGCCGTTTCTCCGGAACTCTTCCCTACGAAGGACCGAGGAACCGGGAACGCCATCGTGGCTACTGCCAACCGTGTGTTCGGAGTTATGGTAGGTCACGGCTCACTGATACGTGAGCGATGTCTGATGCTCAGACATTTTCACCTAGGCTCCCATTATCGCCTTGTATGCCAGCCTCACAAGTGCGGTGCCCATTTGGATTTCCGGAGCTCTGTTTCTCGTGGCAGGTTGCATTGCACTCCTGCTGCCCTTCGACCCTCAGGGCAAGGCCTCTCTTTGAATACACAGACACATATCTTCTGTCTTCGTTGCTTTACTATTGGATGAGAATAAAAACACAAAAGCCATGTTGGTGTACATACGTGGTCATATTACATGCAATAAATATCGACAGCTCTATCTCGTCCTCTAGACCAACCAAGTAGAAAGTAAATACAGGAGTTCAATGCAAGGCTGCTACACGCTTCCAGTATGCGACATATTCCTCCAGATGTCTCCCATCAATCGCGGTACTCCTCACCATCGTCTGCGAGTCCTGTTTGGCACGCGCCGTGGACAGAATGACGGGTCCAGACGCCATCCTGACGAAGTCATTCTCCAGGAAGTTCATGATCTTGTATGCAGGGTTGAACTCGGGATCATCACCACGGGCCTTCACCCGGTTCAACCATTCCTCGAAAGGCACCTTGGGCAATGGGGTGGATGGGTCACTGGATAGGATGGAAGAGAGCATGGACATCAGCCCGGACCATGACTGGCGGGACGGGTTCTCCATGTGGTAGATGGGTTGGAAGCCTTTTGAGAACAGGAACTCTGCAACAGCAGAGGCCGCCCTGTTGACAGGCATCCAGGAAAGGGAGCCGTCCAGATCAGGCAGTGCCTGCAGGGTTTGGGAAGTCCGCACGATAAGAGGGAAGTGCTCGCTCTCGTTCCAGGCGCCCGAGCCCTCGGGTCCAGTCATCTGGCCGATGCGAACGCTGGAGGTTAGGAGAAGAGGATCCTCGCCGTCTGGTGAAGCCGCGCCGTAGAACTCATTGGCTGCGAGCAGCGCTTGCTCACACACCCACTTAGCTTCGGGATAACCGAATTCAGCAGTGTTGACAGCCTCGAGCGGGGTTTCGGGAACCTCGAAGGGACCTTCAGGGTGTAGCAGAGGATACCGGCCGACTACAGCGATCGACGAGGCGAAGAGTAGGCGCTTGGGCACGACCGAGGGAAACTTCGCTGTGCTGAGCAGGCAGAGCCTTACCAAGTTGACAGTGGCCTTCACGTGAGGCTCGAAGGAATCCAGGTTGCGATTGAAGTTGACGGGCCAGGCGTTGTGGATGATGTGAGTCACATCGAGGAGCTGGTGATACCAAGGTTAAGCAGGACCATCCATGATATCGTGAACATGACTTACCTCCGCAAAGTCGTCCTCACTTAGACCAAAGTCCGGCCGGCTGATCTCCGATTCTCTCAGGACGACCTTTTTCCAGGCTTCCGGGGACAACGAGCCGCCCCTGTTCTCCAAGGCTTTCAACTGCCGCTTCTTCATGGCCTCCAGTCCACCTTGCGGCCTGTTGAGGCAAATCACTTTCTTGACTCCCTGGTCATTGGCAAGCCGCTGGACGAGCATGCATCCCAAGCTGCCCGTTGAGCCCGTGAGAAGCACCACAGCACCGTCGTCCTTCTGAGAGCGACTCGCTCTGGCGCATGCCTCCCGAGCCTTTACCGCTAGCTCTTCGTAAGACTTCAGCTCCTGCTTATACTTCTCCACCATAGCCTCCATATTCCTGACGCGCCTCGACTCCTTGTCCTCGTCCACATTCCCATCAACGTACGTGCCCTTCATGATACTGCACACTGCGGACCAAAGCTTCTCGACGCTGGAGCGCTCGAAGACAAAGTCCGGCGCGAGCTCACCAACCGGTTTAGGAAGGTCGGCCGTGACACGCAGCGCGTTAACGATAGCCCGGCGCAGCCGACTCGCCTGCAGACTGTCCATGCCCGCCTCGAAGAAGTCCGTCGTGTCGAAGTCGCGCTTCTCGCCAAAGTCTTCGATGCCCATGACGCTCCGTACGAGGCCGCGCACGACGTCCTTGAGCGCAGCCTCATCGCGCGGGAAGGGCTCCGCCTTGGACACGTCCGCGCGCTCGTAGCAGTGCTTGATCTCCTGCTCGAACTTGGCGAACGTCGCCTTGCGCGCGAGGCTGCCCTTGTCCGTGCGCACGAGCGCCTTCTCCTCCTCGCGCGTCACGACGAGCATCTCGCGCGCGACCTTCCCGTGCTTGTCCGTCATCTCGTTGCCCTTGGCGAGGTACTCGTCCAGCTCCGCGAGGAGCCGCTCGAGCGCCTCGGAGCCTTCGGTGAGGTCGTCGCCCGCCCGGCGGCCCGCGCCGACCTCGACGAGGAGGCCGAGCGAGAACATGCCGTCGCCGAAGGCGAGCACGTCCTTGACGTCCGGGTGCTCGGCCACCGCGCGCTCGATGCCCGTCGGGCGCACCTTCTCGCCCGTCGCGAGCACGATGAGGTCGTCCGAGCGGCCCATGATGCGCACCTGGTTCGGGTGCACCGGGTGCGCCTCGAGGAGGTCCTGCACGACAAAGGGCTGCGTCCACCCGGGCGCCTGCCCGACGAGTCGGTAGCTCTGCGTGCTGGAGGAGGGGTTGTCGACGGTCGGGATGAATTTGAGGCCGATGTCGGTGCGCGGCATGAGGTAGTGCCAGTCGTAGCCGGGCGGGATTCTCTCGATCGGGGCGATGGCGCCGATTTCGGTGGCACCTAGAGTATCATAAAATGTAAATACGTAATGAAAACAAATAAAGAATTGACGTACCCCAGTGGTTAAGCAACTTGACGCCTTGCTTGACAAGGGCCTCGCCAACAGGCTCCTTCATTGGTGCACCACCGATAGCGATGAAGTCGAGTTTCCTCAGTGCGTCCAATCCGTCCGTACCAGGCAAATTCAAAATGTCTTCAAGGATAGAAGGCACAGAAAGCATGGACCTCGCGCCCGTCGACTTGAGCACCGCTAGCGTCGAGCGCGCAGTAGGAATAACCGTCGCTGGGGGCAACACGAACGGCATACCGATTGATAGGGCGAGGGACGGCGCGAGCAGTCCGAAACCGTGGTACAGCGGGAGCGTCGAGACGTTGAATTCCCAAGGCTCCGTCTGCTCGGGCAGACGGTGGCACGCGGCGTAGATGAGCACATAGCCCGTGGCGTGGTAGATGGGTTTCGGGAGCCCGGTGGTCCCGCTCGAGTGCATGATGATCGCGTCGGTCGCGGTGCGGTCGTATGCGGCGAAGACAGGCGGAACGGGCGCGCCCGCGTGCGAGGGGGAGACGGGGTCCAGGAGGTCCTCGTAGCCGATGGCGTCGAGGAAGGCGGGGATGGGTGTGGAGGTGGATTGGGCATCGGAATTGAGGAGGGAGGCGGTTTCCTTTGCGGCGCGATGGACTTGGCCGTTGATGAGGAGCGTGGAGGGGGAGGTTGCTTTGAGGAGGTGGGCGATGGCTACGGGAGTCAGACGTGCCGATAGGCAGAGGACCTAAGACCGCGGTGAATACGCATCTGGAAATAAATACGTTATTGAAGTGACTTACAGGAGTGCCGATCCTCAGTAGGGCAGCAATGTAGATGTAGATAGTGATGTCGCTTCCAAGGAGGATACCTACAGGAGGTACCTTCTCTTCTGGCCGGGTACGACCAGTAGTTGCACCGCTCTTGACGAGCCATGCAGAGGCCCGTTCCACAGCTTCCTGTAGCTGCTTGAAGGTAATCTGGCATGGGGGGACGCCGTCACCGGCGCGGGTCTGCAAGCCAAAGACATGGTCGGGGTTGTGGCGGGCGTTGAAGTCGATGAGCTCGGGGAGGGTGTTGACGCCGTCGGGGTGGTCTGGGGCGTAGCCAAGGTTGATGTGAGCGCGAGTAAAGGGCTTGGTGGGGCGCGCCATGGTCCTCGATCTGAGGCGGATTGGGTACGCCCTTCGGTCTAGACATCGCGCTCGTTTATACGGCAAGCCCTGTGCGGAAATCCGAGGTCTGGCACGGAGGGGGTGGGCCCTGCGTGCCCCAGTCTTCGTCGGGCATGCGAAGCAGATCCGAGGCGGCAACAGACGGCTATGCTCGCAGGATCGACTGGTGCCCGCGGACAGCGGTTCGGACCTGGCTGTGGCAGCAGCATCCCCACCCTGGCTTATCGGCTGGCAGCCTGTTTACCTATTGAATACTTGTGTCAGGCAACATACATCAAATGCTCCATTTTCTCTGGCCTTGGGATTACGGTAAAAGGCGCCACAATGCCCGTTACGGCGTGCATCCGGGCAGGCCACAGCGTCGTATGCGGGTCGCCAGGCCTGCTCACGTTGCCGGAGATCACTGACGCCAAGTGTCGGCGCGGTATCTCTGCTGACGTCAGCAGGACGTGCTTCTTCTGCATCGCCACCATCAGTAGATCTCCAGCCTGCTTTACCCGAATAGTGCCCGCTGGCGATCCTGACGCTCGCCGCCGCCGCCGTCGTCGTCGTCGTCGACGAACACCGTTACAAGCATCGCATGGACTGTCCGATTTGGTGTTTTCAATACTACGGACGGCGTTAAACGCATTTGATATCTTCGGCAAACACGCATGTCTTGACAATTTTACCAAGCTCGTCGGGCGGACTCCGACGTGGGTCAAATCAGACGGGGGTCAGAGCAGGACCAGGATCGCGCAGTGAAGGCTGGTGCTGCATCCAGGCTCTTGCATACACCCTCTGAGGTGGGTGCATTGACTGCTGCTCGCTCGGACTTGTTGATTTTAAAGAGCGGCATCTCTCACCATCAGCTCTCCAAGTTTGAGTCGAGTCGTTCACCCCGGCGCGCGCCCTACAATGGTTGAACAGCGGCAGTTCGAAGATCGCCATGATGTCCTGATTGCTGGCGCCGGTGAGCTTTGTACTGACTATTCTACTTCAAGCGATGTTTGACTCTACTGATCTTATAGGGCCGGCTGGTCTCATGGCTGCACTAACACTCTCGCGGATGGGCATCAAGCCTTTAGTCATCGACGCTGCTGACCATGCCAGCCACGAATATGGACGATCAGACGCCTTCCAATGCCGGTAAGTCTCCACATCCCACCCCTCCCACGCGATTGCTGACCCAACCCGCCGAACCAGCTGCATGGAGGTCATGCAGAGCTTCGGCGCGCCCATCGAGCAGCTCGAACACATGGGCAAGAAGCTCTACGGGCGCACCTTCTGGGAGGTCTCCCCGACCAAACAGCGCCGCACCGCCTTCGCGCGCTTCTACCCCGAGTTCCTCGACTTCGACAAGGACTACTCGCTCGCGGTGCGCCAGGGGCTCATCGAGCAGGTCATGATCCACGACATCGAGAACCACTTCGAGAACTTCCGCGTGCAGTGGGGCTGGGGCTTCGTCTCCATGGAGCTCGCCAAGGAGCAGGGCGCCCACAGCGAGGTCACCATCCGCAACACCCAGACCGGCGAGGAGAAGAAGGTGTGGGCGAAATATGTAATTGGGTGCGATGGCGCGCGCAGCTCGGTGCGCAAGTGGGCGAACCAGTTTGGCGTGCGCCTCGAGGGTGAGGCGCTCCCGGTCACTTGGTGTGTCCTGGATGCCGTCGGTCTGAAGAGTGACCACCCCGATCTTGAACGTCTATGGTGCGACTACCCATCTCTCCACATCATCAGTGATCGCTAAGACGATCTGTTCCGTACAGCATTGTCCGATCGACCAAGGGAATCGTCCTTGTTATCCCCCGCGAACCAATCAACGGCAAGCCCGCAGCCCGCTTTGACATCCAGCTGGAGAAATCTCGCTACGAAGCCAAGGAAGAGGATGCCACCCGGATGATCAAGGATATCTTCGCACCGTACAAGGTAGAGTGGGAGGAGGTCAACTGGTGGTCGTCCTACGACGGTAGGCTGCACCGGAGTATTCGCGATTGATCAATGGCTGAGATGGAGTCTCTTCTTACAGTCGGCCAGCGGATCATCAACAGCTACACCGTCGACGAGAAGGTCTTCTTCGTCGGTGATGCGTGCCACACGCATTCTCCTCGGGGTGAGCTCACTAGCAGTGCATAATGGCTCACATAACTCACTATATGCGCATACAGCCGGTCTCGGTCTCAACACCGCCCTCCTCGAGTCCCACAACCTCGGCTGGAAGCTTGCCCTCGTCCTCCGAGGTGCAGCCAAGCCCGAAGTGCTCTCGACCTACGCCTCGGAGCGCCACAAGGTTGCGCAGGAGCTGGTCCGCATGGACCGTCGCCTCGTCGAGCTCTACGCCGGGCTCGAAAAGCAGACGATGAACGACTTCAGCGGTGACGAAGCCGCGGACTGGCTGCACAGACTGCGGCTCTACCAGGCCGCCAACTATGCTGTAAGTTTCCTTGTCACCGATGCGAGGGATCCATGCTGATGTTCTGCGTCACAGTACCAAGCCGGCGCGTCCATCGTCTACGACCCGTCTCTGATCACGACCACCCAGTCCGGCGAGACCGATAGCATGACCATCGGCAAGCCCGGCGTTGCCGTCGGCTCGCGTACGCGCCCCGCGGTCGTCCACCGCCTCTCCGACTCCGTCCCCGTCCCCGTCCTCTCGCCCTTCGACGGGCGCTTCACCGTATACATCCTCGCGGGCGACCTCTCGCAGCCGGGCGCGCTCGACCGCCTCAAGGAGATCGACGCTTACATCCGCTCGTCGCAGGGCAGTGTGTTTGCCAAGTATGGGAGTGACATCGACGTGCACGCGAAGGAAGTAAGGAAGCGCATGCCGAAGCTGCAGGTGCCCACCGCGCACGAGAGCAAGAGCGCGGGCGCGGAGGCGTTCCCGCCCGGGCGCGTGCTGTACCACTACGACTACGACGACGTCCCCCAGATCACGGGCGAGGTCCTCGCGCGCCCGCACTCGCTCATCCGCGTGTCTGTCGTGGCGACCAACTCCGTCTCGTCGTCTGTCGTGCTCGATACTGTCATGCCGCTCCTCTACCCGAAGCTGTCGGATCCTGAGGACAAGAAGCACTCGCGGATCTTCGACCCCGCACACTTCTTCACTGACGATATCCCTGTTGTGAACCCGTACAGGGAGACGGCGCCCGAGGCTGGGTTGGTCTTCGAGCACCCCATGCACAAGAAGTGGGGCGTCGACGAGAAGAGCGGTGCTATCATTGTTGCACGGCCTGATGCTCACGTTGCGCTGAAGACGGAAGGGTTCGGAAAGGATGCTTGGGCACAGGTTGAGAAGTATTTCGATGCTTTCCTGCTTTAGATTGTATATCCTATTCTTGTGGTAATTAGAGTCTGTATTTATAGTGGGAAATCTATTTATTCGCTTCCATGACTCACTCCGGCGTTCACGAAAGCTTCTCAGCTCGTGACTCATGAAAGTCAGTCGGAGCTTAGGATATGCATTCAGTGACGGTAGTGACTCATCATCAATATTTACGTCGACAAGGATTGAGTGTACACAAGGATATGCTTATGATAACATTGCAATCGTTCACCGGCCATACCAAAGCATGACAGAAGTGACCGAGGGTCCGAGGATATACAGCGTGACCGTCGTACAGGCAGAAAGACAGCAGTGCAGATGCCTGAGAGGTAAAGATCTGACAAACGAGAAAGGCGGAATAGGCAGGTGGGAGATGGGATTTGAAGTATTGGCCGCTGGTCAGTACAACGCGTTTGCGATCGGAAAAGCACCGAGTCCCACAGATTTGGCGTCCCGGACCAAGGATCATATGTTGTGATTGCGCCGCCAAAGAAGGTTACAGGGTCCTAGCCAACCTTTGCGATGTCGAGCAGCATAGGGAAGGAGTAGTCCAATTCGGTCCACCCCATGTCGCCTCAGCCGCCTCGGATGTTGACCGAACACATGCAACCTAACAAGGGCAACTCGTAAAAGCCATCGAGAGATAGTTCCATCGCCGGGACAAATTAAGCTTGACCAGAGTCCTCCGAGCACTCACGTTGCATCGCCTGTCACATCATGCGTGAGGTTGCTGAGGACGTACCAGTCTAAGCGCATCGGCAGACCCTTCAATGAAGCAGAGGGAAGGGGTGAATCATAGGATAGTAAAAGTACACAAAGTGCACAAAACTAGGCTGAGTGGACACTCAGACGGAGTAGGGGTAACGCTGCCGACGACTGCAAAAAATACTATGGTATTCTAGGGGCGTTAATACACTACTCGTACACCTGCTGCAGAGGGTATAAAGGAGCATACCACTTTTTGGTCATATCGAGTCGTTATAGGCATTTCTGAGATCACGGAGGTCTTTCTCGATGTCCTCCAGGAACGCGTCCGGAGGTGGCCAATAGCAGGACCCGGCCACGCCAAGTGTGGCACTGAAGGCGGCGTACGGCTCAATTGGTAATGTTGCGTACGATCGCTTTCCTCGGTCAACACTGGTCGAAACCGGAAGTCCCGATGCGAATTCGTATGCCGGCATTTGAGCTACTTGGAAGATAGCCAAGTCAAACCGATGGGAGAGCTGTGAATCCAATACTCAGTGGCTCGTATAAAGTAGAAGAAAATAATGAGTACCTTGGGCACTTGTCGCGTTACAATGTGCGATTTTCGACTGGAATTCTGCCGCCGCGCCATCCGATCCTGTTTTTCATACGCAAGCATAGCCCTCCTGTCTTCCTTACATGGCACGAATCGCCATACGTGTGACCGATAAGCAACACCATGTCGGCGGCATACTTCACCACGCGTTAGCGATGCTCGTAGAGCAAGACAAATTCCGCGGGGGTATAAAGGAAATACTCACAGGTCATGAGATTCGAAGTGTGGTCACGATGGAAGTGCTCGGGGATGAGTCCAAGACAAAATAGCCATGAGATCTTATCGCACAGCGAGGTGAGTGGTTGCATGCTAAGTGTGTAGACAGCACGCACTCTTTGCTTCTCGTCGTCTGAACCAGTGACGCGTATCACGGTCAGTTCTTTCTTCGATCCGCACAATATGCACCGCTTCTTGTCTCTCAGCATGGTACTGGCGACGAGTCTGGGGTGCACGTAAGTGTCTGGGGCGCTCGAGGAACTTGTCTCCCCTTCGGAGTCGGTGTAATTGATGAAGGATGAGCCACTGCCACCACTGAGAGCACTAGACGGGCGTGAGGGTGGGGAGTCCGGGTCAGCGTAGGCGCAGGGCCTGTAATCAGCGAAGTAGGCCAGGAGGCGGTCAGGTACACAGTCGAAGTTAGCGTCGCCCATGTTGTGAGGTCGAAGAGTACACAGTTGTAGATTGCAACAGAGTGAGGGCAAGTCCCATATATACACCTTAAGTTCAGTCGTGGGAACCGAGCGGAATGATAGCTTCTGTCGATGAATGCCTGTATTTGGAGACTCTGTTCCTATGGACTGGCGTTAGTTACGGCTATACGCAGCTTCTACGGCAACTCACATCTTATTCTCATACCGGATCGTTACGCGATTTCGAACAGCAGCAGCTCCGGTCCTGGATTAGCACCTATTGACTGCCTTGTGAACATGATTTGTCATGGGGCCAGCATGTCTTCGCGAGGACGGCCAAGATGGGTGGCATGATCCGACACCTATAGACCAGCATTGAACGCGCTACCTTCAGGACACGGATGCATCGGATAGCTGAATGTTCTTTCACGATATTGACAGGTCGGTGTGGCGTCTATCTCGGGCACATCGGTCACAGACAGCAAAGGGTTCCCAAACCTAGGGCAATTGTTCGATGAAAGGAGAGTGCACGGTCATCAGCCCGCACTGTTCCTCGCGGGGACGTGCGATTGTCGTTTCCGGCAGCCTGCAGCGTGCCTGAACCGCCAGTGCCGCAGCGGAGAAATTGCCTGTAGTTTACCCGCCTCAAATCCCGTCACGAATGGTAGACGCGTACTTACTTCCGGAGACGTGCTGTTCACACCATAGCGGATTATTTGCCAGATGCTGACTGCCCGCGTTCTCGCGCAGCAGCACTACCCCTGACTTCGATCGGGCCGATCTCGCCGAATATAGAGGTTGATGAGCAACGCCATGGAATCGCACTAAAAGACGCGTATACGTCTGCAGGACATCAGGAGCCCACGTTCACGGCGATTAAGCATTCTCCCGTAGTCTTACCTTCCCACTCACCGTTCGAAGTGAAAAGGAGGGAATTCACCACAATGTTTGAGAGAATGGCGATGCGGCACACATGCCTTGAGCTAACTGGACAGTAGCTCCACGACTTGGGCGCTACCATGTTCAACTCAGCATGCACTACCGAAATATCTTCCAGCACTTTGAGCGTAGGTCATCAGCAATGAATCTGAAATAGGTTGGTCAGTGAGTGGAGTATAGGAACATCGCAGTCACCCGGGCATATTGAGTGTACTTACCAAGTATAGCACATGAATGAAAACCTGCTGGAGAGAAGGACGTAAAGCAACAGCGCAGGAGTGCCGATCGTCTTTGCCTCACCAAAACGGTCAGTGACTATTAGCCGCGGATCAGGCCCGCGCCGCGGCCGAACTTCCCCCGCACTGAAGGTCGCATCGATAATACATACACACTCACTAGTGCTAACTTTGTAGAACGGTAAACTCGCAATGCGGCGGATCGATGCTCCCAGGAGCATGGCTTTCGCTCCCGAGGTCCTTCTGCACAGTGCGTATCTCGGCGAACGGCGATGACCCGGTCTACTTATTCAGAGAATCGAAGATCGAAGCTAGCAAGGGCGATAAGTTTCGGTCTTCGCTCTCCACGATAAACATACCTCTAGCGGATTAGGAAGTAGGGTTCGCCGATCCCAACCCGGTGCTTTTCTTGTTTCACGTGCTGATTCGTCTGTTGACCGCACAGTGCGGGGTCAAGATCCGGGGCCCTCTAATCGGCATGCTGTCGCACCTTGAGTGGAAAACGCTACTCATCCAGCATCTTGAACGGCCATCGCTGGTTCGGATCCTAACCTAACCTTTCATGTTGAGGCACTGCTTGTAGTGTTAGGCCGATTTGATTATTCTCTGAGTAACCTTGCTCCGGTTGTGATTGAGGTGTTGGCGTGGTGGAAGAACGAACACCGTCCCCAGTGTACTCTGGGTTGGAAGCACCGAATAGGTTGCGTATATTTGAAAATAGGTCACTATACACCAAGGTCGTGGATCCGGAAGTCGGCTTCACAGAGGGATGTCGGATCAATACCAAGCACACTATATTCGTTTATGAAGCATACCAGGGTTTGGGGCCATCAGGGCTATCTTATCTTTGCTGCGCGCAGCGGATTGTCTCGAGGAAGCTTTACGACTCGGCGAAGTCATGGAGGCAGGTCACTATCCATTTGGGATACCATAGGATAGCATCAGGGCGTCTTAATTCATCGTAAACGGCATCGGTTATCACGGCGTCCCGATAGCAAAAGAGCGCATCCGATTACAATCGGAGACTGCAACACACAGTACCTCAGCTTGCAATTGGCAGATCGTCGGTGAATTACCTTCAGCAGTCGGAGTTAACACGGCCTGAAAGACCGGAAAATACAAGCGGATGGCGAGCGCTAGAACTATCAGCTGATACTGGTCGAAGATCTGCACCTACGAATAGAGCGACGACCGAAGTATTCACCGTACTCCATGGCCCTGACGGCACAAGATGACAATCGACGTATGCACACATGATGACAGTGAACCAGGGGTTAAAGAGAATTATAATCAGACTTTAAAGAACGTTGACTTACTTGTTAGAAGGCTGTTGAGTAAGGTGGCCAAGCGAACTCGTACCTCGCGGATATGAAGTTTAATGAGAAACATGCTTGACGTCTGAGAAGCTAACGAAGTCCACGATTTCGTAACAGCCACTGGAGCAGGTATCATGGGGTATAACACCTCAGTCTTCGCTGATCTGTAATATACAGGCGCCATATCAACTCGACGGAGACGATGCCTAGGAAGAAGCGAGAGCGGCCTGAGCGAAGGATGCTCCACAGAGATAAAGTCTGCACGTCTGTTCAACTCCAACGATAGATTCGTGAGCGTGGGTCACAAGCTCACCTGGGATGCTGCGTCTTGTGGTCCTCAGTCCAAGCAGGGCGCACGAGCTATCAACATGGCTGGCACTTAGATGAGATTCAAACGCTCCGCCGCAATCGACAACGAATCTCGCCTCCTGTAATTTTACAGCGTCAAACGTCCTCGATGAAGGTGAATCATGCGCATATGATTGTACCTGAAGGTGGTAAGTAATGCGAATGCGACCTCACAGGCATTTGTCGACTTGCTGCATAAGCTCCTTATGAAAACACCTTTAGACATCATGTATAGCGTATCTGCCATCTCTGTCTTCGCCTACTTGCGCACTAGCATCGGTCACTCGACGCACTAGCATTATTTGGCGGAGGCATACAAGTCTTATGTAAACCACCCTCCTCTGTCGAACCTGCAGGCATAAGAACTTCCAGGCTTCGCGGAGCACGGGTCGTACTCTGGCATTGCGGCAGACGCAACGAGCCAATGGCAGCCCTAGGAATGTCAGCCACTCGACGTAAAAGGATCCCAGCAGACCTGCGTATGCTCGGACCAGGACTAAGTCGTCCGAAACTAGTAGCGAAACGGGCAGAATGTCGGCGAACGAGCAGAATCACCAGATGGCCCACCTAGAATGAGCATCGTGCCCTACGCGTTGATCATTCTTCATCAGTGTGGCGACTGTTTTCTCCACAACATCAGTCAAAGAAGTCGGGCAGCACAGCAGGAAGAGGCGAAACAAGCTCGTCGTTGTGGGTTACATGCTGTGCACGACGGGCGCTAACCGGGAATCGGTGGGAAGTTGTGTCAGAGTCCACGCCACACACGTCTCAAGAATTCAGTTGTCTCGTATTTGGTTCTAATCTTAACCTTCAACCCACGTAGAATCCGAGACATGACATGAAATAATCTTGTTCTTACATCGATGATCACAGTATCAGATGGGTCAGGACGTCATCGTAGGTTCGAAGCGTCGGCCTGTAAGAGTATAAGTAGGGCTTGGTCGAGGGCGTTAATCTACATCGACCGACTCCTCTCTACTCAGAAAGCCAAGGGACAACCCAACCAACCACACCACTACAAAAATGAAGGTTCTCGTACTTGGGTGAGTCTGAGAGCAGAAGTTATCGGTTTTGTGGGTGCTGATGTGGTCTGCTCGACAGCGCTTCCGGTTTCATTGGGTTGCCCGCCGCCCAGGCTTTCGTCCGCGCAGGCCACACCGTGTATGGTGTTACCCGTTCAGCTGCAAAGGCCAAGCAGCTTGCCGCTGAAGAAAGTGCGTAACCTAACGTTTGGTCAATAACCTTAGATCTGATAGAGGTGTTGGCAGTTATCCCGATTATCTGTGAAGTTGATCAATTCGACAACTGGACCAAGTACCTCGGCACCATCGACGTTTTGATCGACGCTGTCGGTGGCACTGCTGACATCAAGACACTCTCCGCCAACCTCCTCAGCGCCGTCAGCCAAGCTGCCAAGAAGCTCCGTGCCCCCCACGCGACCAAGCTTACCTACATCTACTCGTCGGGCACCTGGGTGCACGGTGATAACCGTTCAGAGATCGTCTCTGACACCACAGCTTGCACTAAGCCCATGCCTCTCGTCGCTTGGCGAGTTGAGCAGGAGCAGCGTGTGATCAACGACCCCGTCTTGAACGGTATCGTCATCCGTCCTGCCCTTCTCTACGGTCGCTCCGGCTCGCTGTTGGCGCCTCTCTTCGAGAGCGCGAGCAAGGGCAAAGTGGCTTGGTACGGTACCCCCGGGGGTCGTTACGCCCTCATCCACTGCGACGACCTAGCCGACTTGTACCTCCGGGCTGCCGAGAAGGCTCAGCTCGTCGGTGGCAAGATCTTCGACGCTGCCAACGACTTCACTGAGTCTCAAGATGATGTTCTGAACAAGTTGGTCGAAGTTAGCGGTGCGAAGGGTCCCTATGAATGGATTAAGCCCGAGCATCGTGAGTCTTTCATCTCATCCGGGGGGCTCCCCACGTCGCTGACGCTTTTCGTCTTCTAGCTTACCACGACGCTCTTGCCTGCACTTGTCTCCTCCGTCCTTACCTTGCGCGTGCTCTCCTCGGGTGGCAGCCAAAGAAGCCCGGTTTGGTTGATGGTCTGTCCACTTACTATGCCGCCTGGAAGGCATCGGCGGGACTTGCATGAATTCATGATTTGGGGCCGCAGCATCACGATCCTCGAAGCCATTTATGATCACGTTTCTGTATGACAGATTGCATTGCATTGTATAATACGCATCGATAAGCAATAGACTATGGTCGCCTTTCATCTGAGTTACTGAGAGATCCTTTCGTCGACTTCAGCGATGCGATCGGCAGATGCCGCGCTTATGCCAGTGCCTGTCAAATCTAGCTACATATATCTTCATTGGCATGTTTCGACATAACGTACTTACAGCATGCCTTTGGTTGTCTCTTGCTGCCGGATGCGCGATTCCATGAAACTGTTTCATTCTCCGATGAGGAACGTCCATGGGGCCATTCACTTACACTATGATTGCCTCAGTCAGCAATATTCTCCGACTCGAAATCGTGTCCGCTCCAGCAGCAGTACTACTCTACGTGTGCCATATAACCAGGGTCAACCACTGGCTTGAATGGTCGATGAACGATATAGCGTACCGCAGCGTAGCTGCACAGCGCCTATCCCCATCCTCTGCCCTCACTTTCGTAAGAGTGACACCGAAACCGCATCTCCCACTGATTGTTACCAGCCGACATAATCCACGAACAAAGCATTGCAAAATCCCGAACTTACAGGAGATCAAGTCTGCTTAGGCAGCCATCGCAAATAATAGACCGGATTAGTCGGCTTCCCGAATTCGAGATCCACTTGATGAATAAAAGCGAGCGTATCATTCGAGAGCTCCCAGTTGCAACGCCTATGTCCGAAATACTGCTCTACGACATCCCGAGGAAGGACCCGGAGAATGGTCCGTGGTCACCTAATACGCTGAAGGCAAGGTGAGGACCATTGTCTTCATGCAGAGATCGACGTCGAACGCTCGACCTAACTCCAGATCCTTCATAGACTGGCTCTGAAATTCAAGGGCTTGCCTTTCAAGACTGTCTGGGTGGAGTACCCGGATATTGCTTCAGAGTGCAAGAAGATAGGCGCTCCTCCTACGAGGTGCACGCCGGATGGTAGTCCCATGTATACCCTGCCCGCCATCTACGACCCGTCAACGAAGATAGCGGTCGCGGATTCCTACGCCATCGCCGAATATCTCGACGCGACTTACCCTACGGACAGGCAGCTGATTCCATCCGGCACTGAGGGTCTGCAAGCGGCATTCTACACTGCATTCAACGATATCGGCTTCTACACACTGATGTTCGCGGTGGGTACATACTACGCGTCAATCATGAACCCGCCGAGCGAGCAGTACTTGCGAAGCCTTCGCAAGGAGCTATTGGCAAGAATAGAATCACTCGACCGGGAGGAACAGTTGCAGAAGGCGAAGTCCGCTTTTGATACTATTGACGGTTGGTACAAGAAAGCAGGGCAAGGGAAAGTATTCCTGATGGGAGATTCGTCATCCTGGGCGGACGTCGCTGTAGCAGCGCTCTTCCTATCTGTCAGGAATATAGGCGGGCGGGACACGAAAGAATGGCAGATCGTGAGTCGATGGCATGGAGGGAGATGGGGGAAACTGGCGGCGGCTCTCGACGAATAATTGCAATCGGACGAATTGGCGTCGTGCTCGAGTCGTCCTGTAGAGTAAACTCATGCTTCTGTGGATGACGTCCAACGTGAAGAAAGGTCTTCACTCACTTCAGGACTTTCGAGCACGTCGCCACAAGGTCGCCATACGCAAATTCGGCACACATGTACAGACTGATGAAAGCTTATGACGTAGCTTGGGACAGATCGATGAACATGCGAGAGTCAGGAACCTTACGCTTGCGGCCATTGAATCAAGGATCTGCCAGTGGCCTGACTCTAGTCAGCTGGGCGTGTATCTCGGGGAATTTTAATAATGAACAGGTGTCAACAGAAAGGCGAAAGCGCGAGCGTTCACTCGTAGTTTGCAACGACTAGCACGGGCCCCCATGTCCGAAATCCTCCTCTACGACATACCACGGAAGGATTCAGAATGGACCATGGTTACCTAATACTCTGAAGACAAGGTAAAGAGCATTTAGGGCGCAGACCTACGCCTAGCATTCCGCGCTGATCATATGGATATTGTAGGCTCGCACTGAACTTGAAGGGATTACCTTTCAAGACGGTCTGGGTGGAATACCCTGACATTCCCTCAGAGTGCAAGAAGATCGGCGCTCCCCCCACAAGCACTGAGGCGGACGGCACTCCCAGGTACACTCTACCTGTGATTTACGACCCATCCACGAAGAAGGCGATCGCAGACTCTTACGCCATTGCCGAATACCTAGATGCGACTTACCCCACGGATCGCCAAATAATCCCAGCCGGCACAGAAGGTCTGCATGCCGCCTTCAACAAAGCATTCATGGACAGCGTCTACTTCCCGTGCATGTTTACCATCGGGCCGCTCAGCGTGTCTGCTCTGAATCCGCCCAGCGAGCGGTACTTCCGCACCATCCGCGGGGACCTGCTGGCACTGGTGGACTCGGTAAGGCCGGAAGAACGGTGGCGGAAAGTTCAGGCAGCTTTCGAGGTCGTAAACGGGTGGTATGAGAAAGCGGACAATGGGAAGGTACTCCTGATGGGAGACACGCCTGCCTGGGCAGATATCGTAGTCGCTGCTCTTTTGGTATGCGCCAGGAACCTCCTTGGGAGAGAGTCTCCTGAGTGGAAGGCCGTAAGTGAGTGGCATGGTGGGCGATGGGCGAAACTGGTCGCAGCGCTCGAGGGAAAGGTTTTGTACCCAGGGTATGGCTGGACCAAGCAAGGCGGGCAGAGCTAGGGTCAAGTCATAGCTTGGACGGGTAAGGGGCTATTGGGTCGTTGACCGAGAGTGGGATATCTCTTTCGGGGTCTAGGGTCTGACTACCGTCAATTGGTTGGTTATCATGTTATTCCGGAGAATCCATATGTATGGCACACCGCATTTTGCAATTTACAGCCTTGAGACTATCCTGCCCGATTGAAGGGTGCGGATTGTCTGGTAGAGTGGCGTATGAAGACATATGCGTAGAACGAGGAGGGACGCTGGAAACGGAGTATTCCAGCAATAATAACTTGACCTGAACTCCATAATGATAGGGTATTACAGTGGGACTCCGATATGCGGGGAGCAAAGGTATGGCTCATACGTTGTATTGCATGCTGGAGGACCGTACATGCGGTCAGAGCTGATTCCAAGGACATCTATTCGACCAGGTGTTCAAAGCTGCTACAACCCACGTCTTCGATGATTTTGTTCGATTATGATGCTGACAAGTCAGTGTCAGACGATCTCCAGGGACTGTATCTCGCTGGCACCGTCCTCGGCACCAACCTGGTGTAGCCATTATAATATCAGGGAGAGAGCTCACGACGGCCTACGGAGAAGCTCACAGCCGTTTGCAGATCGATAGACCACCAAGTCAGAAAATCGCGTATAGTCGGAGTGGGTCGGAGTGGGTGCCAGGGACGTCGGAAGAAGGTGGGGAAGTCCAAATGGTCTGGTTTCCGTCTCTCGGGGACTTACAATTGCTCGTCCGACGTGGTCCGACTGTAAATGATTTTTGAAAAGTGGGCCCATCAATCTGCAAACGGCTGCAAACTGCAGGGACAGGTATCTCACAGAGGCGGACGCAGCCGCTTTGATCGGAGGCCCTAACCTCGCCACACCAAGTCTCACTCAACAAACGGATGTGTGTGATCGACTATTAAATCCCATTCCCTACTCTATGCATAAATACCAGCAACATTAACTTATAGTAGTCCATGCCCTCCTCCACCACCACCACCATCGCCCTCGACCTGCCCGTAACCCAAACCTCAAGGAAGCGTGCTAAACGAATACGTGCTCGTGGAGAAGTACGGCTTGTGCGGGCCGAAGATCGTGTCGTCTGGCAGCTGACCCTGCAGGTTGACCGCGTTCACGTAGCTCTGCTGCTCGAAGAAGATCTGCACGACGGAATCAGCCGGGAGCAGGGTAGGGGGAAATGGTGGGGGAGAATGGATGGATGCTTACGCAGCTGCTCTGCTCGTAGAAGCCACCACCGTGCGCGGCCTTGCGCGGGCAGGTCCCGCTCGTGAGCTCGCCGCATGTGTAGAACGCGGTGCCGATCTGGTCAGTGGAAATATCCATGCTAGGATCCAGTCATTAGTTTGAACCCAGGCGAGAATCGCGCACTAGGAAAGCTCACCGAATTCCAGAAGCATCGCTCCATGCACTCGCAACCGTCTGCTTCGGCTTATACGGTTCGTACACAAAGTACGTATCATACCCCGTGCAGTTCACCCCGCACTGGTCCACATCGAATCCTTTTCCGAGCTGCTTCGGCGTGCTGAAGTCTTCGGGCGCGCCCTTCGCGATGGGCACAATCTCGGCGGTGCTGAAGAAGTTGTCGTCGGTGGCTTGGTACTTGGTGCTGTTGATGAAGATGGTGTGGTTGAGCGAGCCTGGCTCGGACGCGTTGTACGCGTTCAGCTGGACATAGAGGTGCGTGGTGGGCATGAAAGGCGTGCGCCTAGCAGGAACAAGTCACCATCAACATGAGCCGGGGTTAAACAAGGAATAAAGAGTGTATGCGCACTTGGAGAACTTGGCAGACATCTGCGCCTCCCACACTGCCGGCTTCCTCACCGTATGCTTCACATAGAAATCCACATCGCCTGGGAAGCCCGACTCGCCGTCGGGCGAGAAGTAGTGCAGCGTGAGCGAGTCCTTCGTGTGCGCCACGACGCTGAAGTTGCGGTAGTCGAAGCCGACGCCGCCGTGGAACGTGACGGGGACGTTCGGGTCAACCTTCGAGTGCCCGTTGACGGTCGTGTTGTAGGTGACGCCGTCGAGTGTGAAGGAGGCATACGCGAGGCGGTCGGCGTAGCGGCTGTGGAGGGGAAGAAAGGTTAGATAAGTGGGATGAAGGGGATAACAGCGTACCCTATTTGGGTGTTGAAGCGCGGGGTGTGGGTGACGTCGGCAACATAGAGTTTCTGAACGAAGTCAGGACCCGCTGCTCGCACGGTTATAGGAGGGTATACTCACAGGATCATCGTAACCCAGTGCGATATCTCTTGTCTGCCCCCAGCGATCCTTGACATACAAGTTCTGTGGACGAAACATGGTCAATAAACTGGAGTATTTCTGGGTAATGACAGTCCCCACCTTCAACGTCGCACCGTATGGGATAAAGGTCAGCTTGATATCCCCGGCCTCGATGTTGATATCTCCCAGGGGGTCATACGCCTTACGGTTCGGCACCGCAATAGCGCAGTACGCCGTGAACAAGAAGAACGCAACCCGCGATGCCTTCATGATGGGGATCCTGGCGCGCTGGCAATGGGAAGCTGCCTCGAAGCAGTCATAAGCGCAAGCGGTACCGCCCAGTTATACTCCATCGCTTGGTGGCTGCACCGACTGTTCGACCCACATCGCGCCCGCCGTAACCGGACTTGGCGGGTCCGGAGTCATATTTCAGGAACAGAGCTCTGCGGAACGTCGGGGACGGTGGGACGAAGGCGACTGGGCCACCAACGAACGGCACGAGTAATGATCCGTGCTGTACGCCGACTACATAAACCCACTTGCGCTTGACAGCTCGACGACTGGGCAATATTCATAGTTCCTGGACATGGGAGGAGTAGAGATCGATGCACTGACTGTGGAGTCTCAGCATCAAGTGTAGTATAGACTAGGAGCATTCGGGTAATTCTTACAGTGCCTTGCATAAGAAACTGAACATCGCATTTCCGCGCGCGTTGTTTGTTCGCGCCAAATATACCCTTTTCGGGTAGGTCCGGAAGGCCTCTCGCGGGACCGCTTGCTGGGCAGGGACTGGAGGACACCCCGAGAGGGCTCAAAAGGCTTCAGAGAATGCATGAGATGTATATTCTACAACTACACTAAGAGCTGTAAATCATTATACTCTGCCCCCAGCTGTATGCCTAGCTACCCTCCCTCTGGATGGGTCTTTGCCGCACATTTGCCGATACCCGAAAAGGGTATATTTGGCGCGGACAAACAACGCGCGCGGAAATGCGATGTTCAGTTTCTTATGCAAGGCACTGTAAGTACTTTGAGATGGATTGCAGCTCGTTTGGAAGGCCAGCGAAGAGTCGATCGCGAGCTCAAGCTGAAGAGAGTCGGCTCTATAGTGGCTGTGCTTCTCGCACGTGTCTCTCTGCGCTATGATAGGCTCGCGTGTCCATCGGACGGTGAGTTTGACTGGCAGTGGCTATGCCAGTGGGAACGACAACCTCTCATTCGAATTTCGGTCTGTTCCAGTCCCAATATCTGTCGAATGCCTGGCTCTCCTGAGACATGTAGAGTGCCTTCTGACGAACAAGACCGACAGAAATCTGCGTTCTGACTTGAGTACATTGCGCTTTCGCTCTGGAATGAGATGTTGTTGTTGATTCAAGTCGCCGTGGAATGCGCCATTAGCGGCGTAGAGCAGTCGAGTTGTGTTCCAAAACCTGCGGATGAGAGTACTATGTAGTACGTACTGCCCAAGGTCCGAGCCAGAATAGCATGGCCCCAGAGTCATGACGAACGTACTGAGTGACGAGTCTGTATCAAAGTCAGTTCATCCATGCAATATCACTACCACAAGTTAACATCCCGTACGTATGGAAGGGACATCTTAAGCGAGTCTATCGCATGCGCAGGTGTGACGGGGCCGGC